AAAAAAAAAAAAAAAAAAGTTGACTAATGATTTTTGGATTCAAGCCATGCATGAAGAACTAGAATAATTTGTTACGAATGGCGTGTGACTGAGAAAATATTTATGAATAAGGGCATGCTTGGTAGCACAAGGGTATACTCAAGGAAAGGATATTGATTATGATGAGACGTTTATACCTATTGCTAGACTTCAGTCAGTTTGGATGTTCTTGTCCATTGCATGTATGATGCGCTTTATTGTCTACCAACTGGATATGAAATGAGCATTTTTGAATGGTGTCTTGAAAGAGGTTGCTTATGTTATGCAATCTGAAGGTTTTTTGGTATGAACTATTTTGTGCAAAAATTCAACAACGGCACTATTATCATTAAAATCTATGTCGATGATATTTACTTTGGCTCAAGCTTGAAATCAAGATTCAATGAGTTCATACAATATATGTCCAAGGAATTTGAGGTAAGCATGGTATGAGAACTAACATACTTTCTTGTATTGCAGGTTAGCAAAACAAAAAGGAATTTTCCTTCACCAAAGTAAGTATGCTAGAAATCTTGTGTAGAAGTTTGGGTTAGCGAACACCAAGTGTCCTGATACTCCTATGGGGATTCATAAAAATCTCTCTGAGCATTGCATGAACATTTGTTGACCCTAATCTTTATAGAAGCATGATTGGTAGTTTATTGTATTTAACTGCTAGTAGACCTGATTTGTGCTTTAATGTGGGTATATGTGCTCGTTATCAGTCTTTATGGTACAACCGATTTAAGATTTACACTCACACGACACAAGTCCTAGTCTTGCAGGGTATTGTGAAGCTGACTGGGCTGGAAACATCAATGATCGACGGAGTACGTCTAGTGGATGTTTTGCATCGACAACAATTTTATTTCATGACTGAGCAAGGACAAGATTGTGTGATTCTATCTATATATGAGGCCAAATATATCTCTGTCAGAAGTTGTTGCTCTCAGCTAGTCTGGATGAAACAAATTATGCTCGAATTTGGATTCTAGGTAAAAACAATTAGCCTATTTTGTGAAAATACCAGTGCAATTAATATCTTTAAAAATCACTTTCACACGAATCAAATTGATATGTTCCATAATTGATTGCTCTTGAATATGTTCCAACACGCCTGTTGATGTCGAAAATCGGACGATCAACCGTCAAATATAAGTCGAATCTATGTACGAAAATGAAGAACAAAATCAATGAGAATGGTGTTCTTTTAGAGAGAAGATTTTTCTCTTTTTGTTACTGTGGAGAAAAGGAATAATGAGGAGAGACTCATCCAACCACCCCTTCTCTCTCCTCATTTGTACATATATATACCCCCTCTTTTTTGAGCTGTTGGGTATCATGAAGAAAATGAATGGCCTCTCCTCTTTTGCTAAGGCCCTTTATATTTATATGGTCCTTTTTTTACAAGTGGGGGAATAAATAAATAAAAATGGTACATCATTATTTAATGTGAGATATTCATCGTGGGGCCCGCTTATGACTTCTGACGGCTTCGATTGGCGTCTATCTGAGTCAGCTTCTGATTTGATCGGTCTCGGGAACCTGTTTGTATATTTATTTATTCCGTACTTTCGGCTCCTCGGTTATTGGGCCGTCCTTTATTATTTTATTTATTATTTAATTAATCGGGGCCAAATTGGGTATCAACAACGCCATCGGGTTGAAATCGGTAGCTGTGAAAGGCTTGATCAACCATGAATTATTCAAATTGAATATAGTTTTATGATTTCCCCCATCTTATATCTAATAAGTAACAATTTCAAATTGAATTAATTAATAATAACTACTAATAGAATAATTACCATTTTGAATTATAGTTAACAAATAGAAAATGATATTTAATAAAAAAAATTGGGTGTAATGTAATTGGAATCTAGTAAATCGAGGTATCTCTTCTATGACAACTTAATTTCCATTTTCCCTCTATTTTGTGCGTTGAACGTGTACAAAGGTGCTAAGCATGTAAAGTTAAAAAAGAGAAGGTTTGCATCCGAAAGGCAGAACACGTACCATTCGAGCCATTTTTTTTTTTTCATGCTTTCCCTGGAGGTCTGGAGAAAGCTGCAATCAATAGGATTTTCCTAATCCTCCTTCCAGAAAGAAAGAGCCTGGAATTCTTTTTCCTTTCCGCAAGGACCAGGAGATTTGATATAGCCCTAAGAAGAATGCTTGGTATAAATAACTCACTTCTTGGTCTTCGACCCCCTCAGTCACTATGAACGCCCCCGATCAGTGTAATGAGATGTGTCTATTTATCTATCTCTTGAATCGAAATGGGAGCAAGTTTGAAAAAAGATCTTAGAAGTGTCTAGGATTGGGTGGGCCAATTTTGCTATGGAGCCATCGGATGACATGACTTAAGGAGCCATCCACACTTATTCACAAATATTGTATTGACACGTGCCCTACAATAAATACACTTTGGACATGTGTTAATACATTAAGTGATGGATGACTCCATAAGAAAATCATCCGATGGCTCCATACAATTTCTGTGGACCAGGAGGGTTTCTTACTACTATTATCTAAAAATACTCAAGTTATTAATGACTCGACAAAACCAAGAAATCACCCCTCTAGTGTGAAATTGTAGAAGATCTCCTTTAAGATCAAACAATGCCATCGAATTGAGTATGATTGTATGTGTGATAGCATCTATTATCTACTATACCAGGAATATTAATGAATTCGTTGACATTCTAACCATTAGACAATCATATTCTTTTTATAAATATACATATTAAGAGGTATTATTTAAGCTAAGCCAAGTTGATTGCTTTATGTTCGAGTTGGTGCTCATTTTAAACGAACCGATCAGAGTGAGCTCATGTCGCAAAAGTATGGCTTGACTCGACTCACATAACAAAACCCAAAATTGTAAATGTGCGATTGCGAACATACTCAGTTCGACTATTTGTTCGAAACTTATAAAAATCAATTCATCTAATAAACAAGCTTATTTAGTTAAGCGAGCTCAGGTTTTTTAATTAAACAAACTAGCCGAATTGAGTTGTGCTCGTAAACAGTTCAGTTCAATTAGCAACCCTCTTTTTATATATCAAATTGAATATCTATATCTATATATATATATATATATATATATAACTTTGACGCAAAAAATTTAATGCAATCCCACACATTTTCCCTCCATTTTCATTTACACAACCGTACTTTTTTTTTTCAAACGATAACAATACATTACACATCCATATAAATATAACTTATAATATTCTATGTTTAAAATATAATACTATTATCTAATTTATAATATTAATACTATATGTATACAAATAACTTATAATACTTTATTTATGTATGTGCAAATGCACAATCGAATACTAGTTTATAAAACATGCAAATAAGAGTACGGGATTTTCAAATAAACATTCAATTTTATTAAAAAAATAAGGGTTGTGATTATTTTGATCATTACATTCAATGAATAATATGGGCAATTTTGACTTTAACGATGAGGCTGGGCATCGGATTTTCCCGTTAATAACACATCCATACATTCACGTGGATACTTGTTGATCCAACAATAAAATAGCATTTTCGAGTAAGATTTATTTTTTTAAATAAGAGACGCATAAGGAGAGAGTTGGCTTGGCATGGCATGCAGAGATTCTGCAGGCAAAAAAAGTTCTGTTCAACTACAAAATCCAAACGTTCAAAATTCAAAACAGATCACCCATAAAAATGGTTCATATTAATGACCTAATCAAAAAGCTTTTATCCATTCAAACAAATCCCACCAATCCATGAAAAAATGGACACCATTAAATCACACCTTCATTTTACCAGCCAAAATTAAAATAAATAAATAAACAAACTAATAATCTTCTTCTGTTGCGCACAGCTGTGCAGGGGCACTTTGGGAAAGGGAAAAGAAGAAGACAAAAAGAAAGGGGAAATCGGAATCGCCGCCGCTCTCGTCGGGAAAAATGGCGAGGTGCCTGAGCTTCACCGGCTCCGCCGATTTCCTCTACCGGAGCTTCTTCTCCTACTCGGGTCTCCGATCCGTGAAGACGGATCTGCACGACGGCGGCACCGTGATGCACTGCTGGGTCCCCAAATCGCACAAGCCGGCGAAGCCCAACCTCCTTCTGGTCCACGGATTCGGGGCGAACGCGATGTGGCAGTACGGCGAGCTCCTCCGTCACCTGATGCCGCGGTTCAACATCTACGTGCCGGATCTGGTCTTCTTCGGGGAGTCCACGACCCCGCTGCCCGACCGGAGCGAGGGCTTCCAGGCGCGGTGCGTGATGCGGCTGATGGCGGCGCACGGGGTGGCAAGGGCGAGCGTGGTGGGGATCAGCTACGGGGGGTTCGTGGCCTACAGCCTGGCGGCGGATTTCCCGGAGGCGGTGGAGAAGGTGGTGCTGTGCTGCACGGGGGTGTGCCTGGAGGAGAGGGACCTGAGGGAGGGGCTGTTCGAGGTGGCTGACGTGGACGAGGCGGCCAACATACTGATGCCGCAGACGCCGGCAAAGCTGAGGGAGCTGATGGGCTTCGCGTTCGTCAGACCAGTCAAGGCTGTCCCCACCTGCTTCCTCTCCGATTACATCGATGTGAGCTTTTCTCCCTTTTCTAACTTATTTTGCCATGTTTTATTATTTTTTATTCTGAAAAAAATCTTGTTTATATAGTCGTAAATTAGACTCGTACCCCTGGATCGTATTTGTAATTAGTGATAATATGTCTAGGTTTTACTGATATGAGCTCGGACTTGTGATTTATGAATTATGGAGCTTTCATGAGTTTGTGAATAGTCATTTACTTCAAAATACAAATCGATGTGCCAAAAAGCTCTACAGGGGCATAAGTAGGATTAGCCCCAAATAATGTGTCTTGTGTAATAAGTAGAATTTGGGTATAAATAGGACTAGACAGAGGCTAGACGGGACCTAGAGGGCTATGTAGCTGGACAGAGACTTGTGGAACACAAGTGATCGTTTCGAAATAGTGCTTTCAAAATTCAAATTGTGGATAACATATCAGTATAGTTTTTGTTGTTATTATTGTTTAGATAGTCATTTGGTTCGATAAAGTATATGATTTTAATTATGTTGATGACGAGACCTACCCAGTAATATTTGGGTGAGTGTTCACGATGTTAAAACGGAAACACAACCAAATTGTTTAGGGCTATTAGTAATTTAGCTTTATGATTATCGATTGAACATTCCACTGTGATTTTGCTTGTACTTGATTAAAATAGAAGATGCTGCCAAATTTTGATGTCAAATAGAAAACTTTTGTGTGTGTCGAGTGTTCTTCTGGATAAGGGGACATGGTTTAAATGCGGCTGTGGAAAATGTCTGTTTTCTTTCATGGCCAGGTTTTCTGTACGGATCAGGTGACACAGAAAAGGGAACTTCTTCGGGCTTTAATCAAGGACAGGAATCTCTCCAAGATTCCGAAGATTGAACAGGTTCGGATTCAGGAATCTTTTCTAATTCTAGAATAAGTTCTGAACCATTTTCATCTTACTAATTTGACAAAGTGCCCCTGGCTTTATAGCCCACATTAATAATATGGGGAGAGCTTGACAGAATATTTCCACTCGAGTTGGGGCGCCGCCTCCAAAGGTAACCAATCATAACTCGTGCACAAAACAATCCAATGCATGCTTCTGCAAAATTTTGTGTATATTTTTTTTATGTTGCGTGAAGGATTTTAGCTATGAGCGGATTTAGCAGGCCAGAGTTCAATTTGTTTGGAATCTTGTTTTGAGCGATATTTTGAAAGATCATTTAGATTTTACTAGTTTGTAAACATGCAGTGACAAATTTTTGCAGGCATATAGGGGTTAATGCGAGATTAGAAATCATAAAGAACGCAGGGCATGCAATGAACATTGAGAAGCCGAGGGAGTTTGCAAAGCTTTTGAAATCATTTCTTGTTGGTTCTGATCAGTCATCTCATTGGCCTAAGATGCTTTTCTGGAGCAGCCCTTGATGAAAATACTTGGACTCCGTCTGAAACAAAACTGAACATATTTTTTAAATGATTATATACGTACATATATATTTATGACTTGACTTCATTTTCTTTAACCACATCTGTTTACAGTGTACACTACTGTACAATGTAAATTGATTTTCATCTGAATGATTTTTGCTTAGGCATTCCATTATTATTGCCATTATAGACGTAGAGGAGAACTGGGGCTCTGTTTTTGGTACGATTTTCATGGAATGATGTGATTTTGTATAGGGGCATTTTGTACCTAATCCAAATTTAACACCCACATTTCTGAAAAAACTATGCAGAAGTTTTCTTAAAGGCCAAGAATACCTTTTTAATGTAGGTGGTCAACATATTTTATGTCATAAATAATAGATCATTGATAGGATTAAACAAGATAGAATTGTAAAAAATACACACACAAAGATGAGAATATGAACGCTCTTTCCCCAAAGTACACCTATGTAAGCAAGAGAAATTGATCGATCCGAAAGTTGTTCATCGATCGAGAAATCCAAATCCTCGCCGGCTGAACTGTTGGCCATTTTTCTCCTGTGAGATTGAAGACAAATGGGATGACAGAGCCCCAAAAGAATATGAGATGTGTTATTAACGAACAAAATAAATAAATAAATAAATTAAAAGTTAGAGAATGACTTTCTGAAAAGGTAAAGGAATAGAAAAATGATTCTGCCAATATTATTTGAACAATCATCGAATACAAAGATTTTTTTTTTTTTAAAAGGTTTAGTTTCCTTTTTGCATAATTGTTAGGTAATTTGTGTCTTAGGTGAAATCTTGCATGTTGGAACGAGTAATAATGCACAACTAGTATAGAGTCCGTGCGATGCACGGGGTGCACAATTTTAAGGCTATTTATCCAGACTTATAATTATATACATGAATAAAGAAAAATGTACGGGATATATATAGTACGTGACCCGTGCGAAGCACGAGATATATTTATTTGGAGAATATTATATTATAAGATGTAATATTCAATAAAAGTTTATATTACGCAATAAAATTATACAATGTTCAATAAAAGTTTTATAATATTCAAGTGGAGTCTTAAAGTCTCTTGTACATTAAGACTACTGACAAAATAATATTTTAATCAATGAGTTTCCTTTCCTTGTAGCCAAATTATGAATGTGATTTGAGGAGTACAACAAATCGATATATAGCTGACTTGCTTTTTTCATTGTAGTTTTTTTTTTATAATGAATTTAAAGATATTCTAAAATATAGCAAAAATTAATTTTTTTATTACAATTAGAAATTTTATTAAATATAAACTCTCAATCCATGGTGTAATCAACGTTTAAGTCTAAAAAATCAGGAATTTTTACCTCTTTTAATCAACGTTTAAGTCTAAAAAACAATAGAGTTATTATAAGTTTTTTTCTACATCTTTTAAAACATTAAATATGAGCATGTTAGGGCTAGCTTGTAAAATAATTAATATATTATCTCACTAAAACATTTATACTAATAAAAATTTAATTTTAGCATATAAATTTATCCCTTGATATAAGAGAAAGTAACAGTTTTACTTATTGTTGTTCACCATATAATATTTAATTATTATTTTATTATATAATAAAAAAGGAATATTGTTAAATAGTGTAGTAGAATTGTTATAAAATTATATGATTTTTTTTTTTACAATATGGATTTAATATTTTTTTATGATTTGATAATATAAACAAATCTATACTTAACTTTGACAAATAAAACAAATAAATACTTTAGTAAGTATTTAATGTATATACTAAATAGGAATATATTTGGTATAATCAAATACCAAATATAATCAAATAAGTCAAAGTGTACATTTTTATTTGATATTTGATTTTTTTATTATTAAAATCTTTTTATTATACTTACCTTTTTAAAATAAAACAAATAAATAAATCAATTAAATAAATAAAATATTATAATACCAAAATAATAATGGCATTTAATGCAGTTGACTTTTCTGGATAGTAAAATATTAATAGCAATAAATGTTGTTGACTTTTCTTTATACTAAATCTAATAAATGGTATACATTTTAATATAAATATAGATATAGATATAGATTCTATTTTACATAATTGTTAGGTAATTTGATGTGTTATGTGCCTCTTGAACCTATCTATCACCTTGAGGACCCGACTTCATGAACCTGTAAAGCGCCGGGGAAGTTCCCGGCATAATTGTTAGCTATGAACACATACATTGTTGTAACTTTAATTAATCTAAAATATTATTTTTGATCTAATTCATACAACTTATAATTGTGGTCTCGTGCATCACACGAGACGGGCGATGGATCAAACCCCAACAAATCAATACAACAACCATATATTGGATGAATGTCTCACTTGAGCTACACAACATGGCTATTCAAATTTCATTTGCCGCTATACATTATGCACATTCATTACAAAAGCTCGGCAAGTTCAATCAACGGACAAGCATTCAAGAAATTTATCACAATGACAATCCCTGTTTTTATTTATTTATTTTTTTTTATTATTATTATATTGAACATTGAACTTCTACTCAACACAACATTTGCAAACATAATAGAGCAATTCATGTGAAATGAAAATTGGTCAAGCAGTAATTAGTCTTTGGTTTTTTTTTATTTGCAGTAGCTAATCAAGCTTGAAGATAACAGCTGATCTCTTTATAAAGTGATTGCCTTTGAGTGAATGTCAAACTTGTAAGAAGATGAAAGTAGCGGCTCCTGCAGGCACAAGGAAATCACCATTAAAAAAAATGAATGCAATTATCCAAAACCTATATAAAGATAGTGGCCTTGTTTGGTAATTAACGGTTAGTTGTTAACTGTTAGCGGATTGCATTAGCTGTTTTGACGAGCGGATTACGTTAATTGTTTTGACCAGTTGATTGTGTTAGCGGGTTGTAAAAGAGTGTTTTGTAAAATTAGCTATTTTTAATTAGCCGTTAACATGTAAAAATTACTTATAAGGACATCTACATACTCTATCGTTCTTATTTATGTAGAACTTATAATTATTTAAGAAATCAAAGCAATTAATGTTTTACATATTTATTAAAGTGATTTAAAATATAATAAAAATATAAATAGTAATCAAATAAAAATATTTCTTAATCGAATAAATAAGTTCACGTCTTATAAACAAAGCCATGCAATTATTAAAGAAAAAATACACATCTATTCTAATTAAGCATGAAAGTTAGTTTAAGTAAAAAGAGTACTAATTATTGATGATAAGAACATGTACATACTTAAATTTTTTACTTATTAATTTTTAATATTTACCAATATAGAGATTAAAATTACTGTTAATATGAGTAAGACAAATTAAATTAAAATTGAAAAAAGTGTGCAAGACAAAAAAAATTAGCAACTTAAAAAAGTGCAATTCAAAACATGACAAAGAAAAATAAATAGTAACAAGCAAAAGCAAAGCCGAGAGGATGCTTGGATACAAAACTTATCCAAAAAATCCAAACACTTTTAACTCAACCACTTTTTTAACTCAACTTTAACTAAACCCAACTAATATTAATATTATTAATATAATTAAATAATATCAACCAATCATTCTTACACATCACATCAACCTTAATTCACTATTCATCCCCTCACATAATTTTAACTAACCATCACTTCAAATCATTTCTTTCATACTTTTACATTAAATTAATTTTTAATTATTTTATTTTAAATATTATTTTAATATACCACTAACAACTAATCATACCACTTTTTTCAAAATTAACAAAACCAAACCAAAAAAATCCAAACAAATCCAAAAATTTTTATATCCAAGCATCCTCTGAGTGCTTTAAATGGTGGCGTGTCATGCTAATAACATTAATTTTATTCAAAGCGACAAAAGGAAATCAAAACGCCAAAGCAAAACGCTCCAAAATGTAGCGTTTTCATTTTTGGGATTGGGAGCCCACAAGCTAATTTCAAAAGTTGTTTTTACCAGACAGAAAAAAGACCAATTTTAGCTTTTTTCATTTCGGTCAAAACCGCTAAATTTGGCAAAAAAGCTGAAAAACAAACGGGGCCGTGTCTTATTTTTTTCTTTCCGGGGAGATAAAAAACATAAACGAACATACATAATGTTAACAACGAGAAAATTGTCTGTACAAAAATTGCACCTGGGATTTGTGGGGCTCGTTACTAGTTAAGCCAACTTGTTGTCGTGCAGCATCTATCTTCTTGTGCATCATACTAAGTAGCTGAGCGTAAGTTAATCGAGGTTGCTCTCTCAAAGTTCGGTAAAAGCTATAAGTTAGTGCACCCACATGAGCACCTGTAAAGGCCTAAACCAACATATATAATGATCTTTTTATCAAACAAAACTATCTATATTGACAGACAAGGATCTAGAAAGAAATTTTCTGAATTGTAGGTTCATTTTAGAACTTATATATCAGGTTGAACTGTATGATCATACAATTGTTCTAAAGAATGCACACGTAAAGTACAAGGGTGCATATAAATTAGGCTAAATTTCATTTTTAGTACATTATGTTGTAATTTTTCAAAAAATGTCCATCATATAGCGCGATATCCAGAATGGTCCACTAAGTTGCCACTTTAATTGAAACTTGTACAATAGCAAACATAGTGTACTAAAAACGACAACTGAAAATGATCACTTTTAGTACTGTATCTTTATGAATTTTGATTAAAATGGTAACTCAGTAGACCATTCTTGACGACGCCTTATATGATGGACCTTTTTCGTAAAATGGCCAACCTATAAGACCATTTTTTAAATTTTGCCATATAAATTATATTACTAAAAAACTTATCAAGGATGAGAGAAAATAATAACAATATATACTTACTGTAGTGTCCCCTGAGTTCTGATGATCATCACATGCACTGATACAGATTGCATAACCTCCGCTCGTTCCTTTGTATGCATGCAGAGTACGGTGATCCTCCCATTTATAATATCCATCCCTGAAATCATTATTTGAAAAAAAAAAAAAAAAAAAAAAAANAAACTCGGGTGTCAAAATCTCAATCATATAAAAGGACTAAAAGCGCGATTTTTTTTTTACCTGTTCATCCTGCAGATATTGGGGAGATCCATTAGCGTGCCGGAAAAGCACGTGTCGACTATGGAATGAAGTGTGGCCCCTCTCGGCAGTGGCCTCACTATTGTTGCATTAATCTCGTCGTCCAAAATCCTTCCCTCAGTCTCGTAGTCAACTGGAAGCAACGACTCGTCAAACCCATCGACCTCGTCCCAGTCTCTGTCCCTCACTTGTGAAGCGTGGCCCGAATAGTGGAACACCAATGAGTCCCCTGATTGGCAGCCCTGGACAAGCCACTGCATGGCGGCCCGTATATTCTTCTTTGTCGGGATAAAAGAAGGATGTTTCTCTTCTTCTGGGGAAATAATTAGAATCATTTCTATGCATACATGCACCTAATATCTTCGTCGATCGATTATAGAGGTATCAATTTTCAGAAATCGACAAACCATACCTCATTTTGTTCGTATCGCCATGGGCTTTAAAAGCCCTAAATCAATTTAAAGTTCAATTTAAGATTTATCATTAATTGAGTTAAAAGCTTTTTTGTGACATATTAGAGTTTTCAATCGATGAGGCAAATTGTTAGTTTCGACTACTATGGGAGGCAAACTGTCAAGAAAAAAAAAAGTTTGTAAGGCAAACTCTAAAAATCAGCATAGTTTGAGAGGTTAAAATTTTTTTTTTCCCCCTTAATTTAATTAGGCGATGCATTGCAGGGGAATGTGAATACCTGTGAGAACAAGAATAGAGGAGGGTGGGAAATTGAAGGTGTGGAGCAAGAGGTTTTTCATGTACAAGACATCGTTCACACTGCCTCTAAGGCTTCTGTTGTGGCCTTTGTAGGTAATGCCGCACAACAGGGCTCGTTTACGTCCATACTGTGGCTGGATTAATTGAGGTGTGGCCATGTTCCACTGGTTGTAAGGTCTACAGTAAGCTGCTGTGTACCCTGGTTGGCCGGTTAAATGTGTTACTTGTTGACAGGTTGGACAGTGTAGGAATTGTGCTGAAAGTGGGATGAGAGATGGAATCCCACACCACCTGCAGCTAACTATTCTTCTATCCATCTCTCTCTCTCTCTCTCTCTCTCTCTCTCTCTCTCTCTCTCTCTGCTTTCAGTATATATATTTATGTTTTGGAGTTGCATGGCAATGAAAGAATTTATAATCCACAAGGTAGAAAGCATTTTTTTCTTTACCGAAGTGTGTTATTTTTCATTTGATGCTGTGCTGCCTGTGCATGGTGTTTTGAAGAATTAGATTCTCTGTCTTTAATTATTTCCTTCTCATGCGATGTGTTTGTGTGTAATCCGCTAGCTCGCTGGGTGGGAGAATAAATTATGTCGTGGGGTGTTGTCTCTGGATATAACTTAAAATGGAAACGACATCACATCGCTGTTTATGTACACTGAATGTTGTATAGATTTTATTGTTTTCCCTTGATTCCTCAGGTCAAAGAAACCATCCCAAATGACCAATTTGCTGACAGAATCAGATTCTCAAGTGTATGATTGGCCTATATGAAATTTCTTGAAAAGAAAAGTGTGATAAATGCGCAATTTATTTATGTGAACAATTTATTATGCGCAATTTATTATATTCCCCTTACATATCCCCTTACATATAATTATTGAATATGTTGAGTTTAAGTAGGAGACTCGCATGTTTTGAGATCCTATGTGACAAAATTTCATGCTTCATTTGGTTTGGATAGATTTTAATTTACTTTCAATTCAAAAATAATTAAGTTTGGATTATCCATAAATATGTTGATTATTTATGGTCATTTTACATGTATTAATTGCATTTTAATATCATTTTCTATCTTAACCATTGAATTGTAAATGTATTTTTAAAATTAATAACCTTTGTATTTTTATCAATTTTACATATATAACATATCATATCAATCATCTCTTGATGAGCTTCGATTTGATATCCATATTGTATTTATAAAATAAATAAATTATATATCTTTTTAATAATAATAAAATTATTTATTAAACTATAGGTGTTAAGACGGCCGTCGTGGGTAAGAGCCTGGTCAAACTGCCAAGGACGTCCCAAAAGTAAGTGACATGCATTTATAAGGAAGACATCGCACCAAACCTTATCCCAGAACGTAGCACCAATGGAGAAAAACACCAGAATGCGGCGTTCCACGGTGATGGCATTGCCTTATTGAATCCATGCTAGCGTATACGACTGAGGATGAGGCTCGCTTGACAGTCAAAGTTTCTCCACGATCTCCTGGGCGACCACATTCTCACAAGACCCAGAATCAACAATAAAGCGACACACACAGTCGCCTACCGTACATGTCGACTAAAAAATGTGATGGCGTTGAACCGCTCGTCAGAAGAGACACGTGGCGCTAAGCAAGAACGTCGTAGGACCATAGCCGTGTCGACGTCACCATGAAGATGCTCTACCGTCTCCAAGGGCTCCTCACCAAAAACCGGTCGCGTTGTATAACGGGTGGTTGCCTTGGTCACCCGTTTCATCGACACACAATGCCCGGACATCGTACGGGTCGGGGGCACGCAGACTGCCGGTGGCCCAACTCGCCACACGAAAAACAACGGGGGTTGTCGTTCGCCCGTTGGCCTTGTTGCACCCCCCTCCACCGTCGCGCCTGCTGCAGCACCAAAATCCGTTGTCATTGGGTGGCCCGAGCCCAAAACAGCAGCCCCCGCCGTGCCATCGCTGCCAGCCCTCGTCGATCGACCAGCTGTTGCACTTGCGGCAGTCTGTCCAAAGCCAATTCCGAGCGCGCAAACTGCACCAAGGTCGAGAACGCACACCTCGACAGCAGCTGCTCTACCAAAATGGCCCATTAATGCGCATCGGAGATCGAGTCCGGTATAAATGAATTGAGTGTGCCCTGAATCAACATCCAAAGCCTGTCGATATATCGGGAGACAAGTTGATCTGTGGTCTCTCGAATTTCAACACATGTGAAGAGTTTATAAAACTCCTCGGTGTACTCACCAACCGAACGAGTCAGTTGCCGAAGGTTTTGTAATTTTTGATAAATTGTACGAATGTAATTGAAAGGCAAAAATTTTCGTTCAAGATGCTTACGAAATTTAGCCCAAGACGTGATTTTCGATTTGCCTGACGATGTCGCGCTACTTTGAGTTGCAGGAACCATGCAGTCGCTCGGCCACGCAAATGTGCCGCATAAGAGCCACACGATACTCATCTGGGATTCTTTATAATCGAGAATGGACTCCATAGCATCGGGTCCCCCACCCGAAAGCCAGCCTCCCAGCAACAATCACCCAAGGCTGTCGATTGCGCGATAGGGCCCGCGAGCATCGCCCCAGCCTTCGTCCTCCCGACGTTCCCCGTGCCACCCAATGTCGCTGTCATCCCATTGTTCCCGTCGAAAGCTGAAAAGGTTAACTTATGACAGAGTCTCCTCGTCGTCCTCTCCTCCGTGCATCGGTGGTGGCAACCGCCAACAGGGTGCCCCGCTAGGTCCTCTTCTGCCACGACCTCCGAGATACCCCCCGGCCGGCCAAGTCGCGGTCCGTGTGTTCTCTGTACATCATGGTACGGATCGCCAGCCTGATTTCGTCGATCCCTGTAGAAAGATCATCCACCCGATGATTCACTTGTTAAATTTGGCAGCCGAGACCATCGGTGCGCCTATCCAAATCCTCAAGATGGGCATCACGTCGTTCGTTGTTGTTACTTCACGGCGGCATCTTGAATCGTGTTGACTGCTGATACCAATTGATGTAGGCAGAAGCATACAATGAGAAAAGAAAGTAAAACACAAGAGATTTCTGTTCTTTATTGATAAAAACCAATCGACTAATGAGGGAATAAATCCCAATAAATAGATTCCTAGTCTAACTACTTAACTTGCTAGTCAAGACACTAATTATTTTCCTAATAAATAAAGCAAATAAATAAAATAAGATAAATAATAATTGACAATAAATAATATATCTTCTAAACCCAGAGCCGATCACATCTTGCCAGATACGCTAACGCAATCTCGTCGCCATCACTCGGCAATAGATTGGGGACATAGTGGCTCTCATATCAATACACTAGGTACTAGTATATAACACCGCTAAACATGTTTCCACGACAAGAGTAAAAAAATCACCTCATGTGTCGTGCTAGAGGATGGAGAAGTTATCCTTTCAATGTCCTGACTGCATGATCGGTGGCACTTGTTTTTCGACTTATTCGTCACTCCTTGAATGACCAGCGGTGGTATGGCTGCTGGGCTTCGCTTGTGCAGTACACTTCTTCTTCTTTTTACCCTTGTTGGACCTAAAAGATGAAGGCTTAGCCTGCTCGGCAACTTGCGCATGAGTATTTCTGATAGAACAGCCCTTCCGTCGACTAGAATTCAATCAGAAGCTCTGTGAGAGATAACAACAACGGATCATGTTGTATTTCAAGCGGAACTGCACAAAACTACTCGGAAGAAACTGGAGCACAATATCAACCTAGGTCTACATCAATATTGACCCTAAAGACCTCTAATTCATTAAGTTGGGACATCATCATAAGGACATGCTTACGGGAGTGTCCTTAGACATGGAAGTGTCATCAAAATCCTCATTGCCTCATGCCGGGCGTCCCGACTCTGATGACCAAAGAGTTCCTTGATATTGAGTAACATGTCATAAATAGTGTCTATAGACTGATGTTGATGTCGCAGCACATTTTACATAGAAGTATCACTGAGTCATCTCATCAGCCTTGACCCACTTAGCATAAAGCTTTTTCTCCTCATCTCTTGCAGTATCCTTGGGCTTATTCGGACAGAGATCAGTGAGCACAAATTTGTACCCCTCAGCAGTTAACACTATGTCCGAATACCTTTTCCACTCAACATAGTTGAGACTAATAAGTTTGTTTCTTTATAAATAATGGATAATGAATTGAAAGACATTTTTTAATATTTCTAAGAATCATGAAAAAAAACTAGTTAAAACATTTAAATTTAACTTAAGTATCGATTCTCTAAACACCGAGATCTTCTCATGCTACGTTAGTGTGAAAGTATACCAATCTCAACATTTGTAAGAAAAATGTTTTAGCCTATTAATTTCCATAAGTCAACTTAACTTCTCGACGAATGAAATTAGTAGTCAACTCCCTTTGGCCATATAAAAATTAGCAGTGATTCTGTTAGAGATGACTCTTTTAATTATATTGTAAGTGAAACTCATGCTTATTCTGAAGTCCATTTTAAAGGATTATGAGCCCCCAATTGAAGGGTTGCAGTCTAGGGGTGAGCATGGGTCGGTAGGTTCAAAGATTGACAAATCTCAGAACCGTACCGATTCGAAGATTACTAAAATTCGATCTCTGGAACAGTACCAAAAAATTTGTTCTATTCGGTTCGGAGATTTTATTTTCGGGTCGGTTCGGTTCGACATTCGGGACTATCAAAACGGTTCGGTTCGGATATTCAGAAATTTTTAATTATTTTTAAAAAAAATTTGAATGACCACCTAATTATATTTTAATTTTTATAATTTTTTTTTAAATCCAACATTCATCATACTAAAGATTTTATTTTTAAATAAAATTTAGAAGTAACTATGAATTTTTGTTAAGACTAAATTTGTGCAACTAACATTGAACATTTAAAATTCAAACAAAATATAATATAATTTTTTATTAAATAATTTAACCTTCCATACTATGTTAGTTATAAGATAGAATAAGACTAAGTATCGACAAATTTAAGAAAAGTTTAAATATTTTTTTACAAAAATATTTTTTTAACCTTTCAATCCATTTTAATTTTTTTTTTAAACAGGAAAAATTCAATTGTATATCAAGTATTACAAAGCATGAAATTTAAGTGAAGTTTAATTGTTATTTTTATATTTTATTTGCATTTTAAAAATTCTCTAATTATATAAGATCAAAGTTGACATAAAATATATTAATAAGACACTTTTATTGTATAATTCAGTTCTTCGGTTCGATACAGTATGAGACTGTTCGATTCGATTCTCGAACGGATATTTATGAAATCTTCAGAACCGTACCAAATATTTTTTTCGGTTTCGAGTCAAACGATCAACAATTATTCTTCGGTTCGGAGTGATTTTAATTTGATTTTTTCGAAACAGTTCAGAATTCTCCGAGTCCCATGCTCACCCCTCTATGTTGCACACTCCTAACAAAATTTCCTATAATCATCCCCAAAGAAAGTTTTGTTCTTGTGATCCACAATTAATTCATCAGTTGTGGAAGAAAATACTTAAAGTGGACACCACAAATTAATTGCATCACCAACATAACAATAATGGAGGCCTTCAAATTAAAAAAAATAAAAAAATATATATATATATATACATATATTTTTAATTTAAAAAAAAAAAATCTTCTTCCACTTAGCGTTTAAAATAGAGAATTTTCCCTTGAACACGCGTTTACCATAATTATATCCAATGCAATTCATAGCAATAATTAATTATCATGCACTTCATAATTATAGAGACCTATATATAATGCAATAAGTTGGTTTATATTCCTGTTACAATAAAATTCTCTCATTAGCAGTTACAAGTCAAGTTCACCTAGCAATACTATACAAGCAATAAAAAGGCAAATAGATTTCAAAAACAAAACAATGATATTACTCTTTGTAAGTTGCAATAGGTGGAGTAGGGCAGATGTTTATATGAGTGTAAGCTCAAGCTTTGGCCTGTTTGGGTATGGCTCTACCACCTCCATGTGAATTCTCACAGTCTGTAGAATACCATACGAGACATCACCATTAATCTTCTTGATCTTTTGTTGCTGCTCGTCAATCATCCATTCCCCTGCCTTCTCACCTCTCGCCATCAAATATACGGGTCCTTCAATTCCATACCTGAACAATACGTACGTGCACAAACTTAATGGTACAATACTTTGATTGGAACATGTCCCCATATCTCAAGATTTAACTATTGCTCATGGCAATTCAAGCAAAAAAATTATTTCATTTTATTAAATAGAGAAATTAAAATGATTGTTTTCAGGTGCTAGTACTACTATCCAATCACCATTTGCGCTGCAAAGATATAAGCTTAATTGACAAATTAATTAGGCATCAAGTTCTGTTTACATGGGCAGATAGTGACACATAAAAATGAACTTAACTGAAACAATTGTATCCTGACAATACCCAAAGGGAAATACGCAGAAATTAATGGTAATAGCAAAATCTTACTTGGGTACAAAAACAATGAAGCCATTTGATCTTATTTTCAATATTCGCGCCTCTGTATCAGTAGGCCTACAAAAGAACAAAATCATGAGATACACACACACACACACACACACATAGAGAGAGAGTTACTGTTACCTTTTTCTGAAGTAAATGAGTGTATGGAGCTCAACTGATGCGCGACTAGCCATCTGAGCATTCTTGTGGCGATAATTCAAATCTGCAGTGGACACATAAATGTAACCAAACTTGCATCAAGAGCTATACACTGAATGATTCAACATAGTTAAAATGAACAAAAACACCATAGTAAAAATAAGCGCACGTCACGTGTAAAGAAATGCTAATATATTTTTACAGATGGATTCCAATTCACACTTTTTGACACTAAACCTTAGGCATGAAATGCAAACATTTGCCCAACTGTGATGTCAAGGCATAAGTATCATCTTCTATACTCAAACTGAGAACAGTCAATGAGATTGTATGAAACTCAAGGTTGAAAATTTGCGAAATAGAAGAACAAGGAGAAAGAGAATGTAATAAGTTGACGTCCTCACTGTCAGCAATACAAGTTAGTCGAGGTCTTTCTTGGAATATATCTGGAAGCTTGGATATTCCCAAAGATGCAGCAAGCAATCGGTGCACGATTACATCTGCAAGAAATGTTTCAGGATCATTATGGTTAATATCTATGGCATAAATTGAACAAAATGACCAATATTCTAACTTACCTGCATATCTTCGTATAGGAGAAGTGAAATGTGTATACAAGGGAGCAGCAAGACCATAATGAGAAAACTCTGGAGGGCTGAGATCTCCACTACAGAAGTACACAGCCTGATAACACGTTAACAGAAAAAACAAATAAATAAAATAGAAATCTCCGGCATACATTGCAGAATAAAATATTCAATAAGCTAAAGAAATTTTAGACACCTGTGTCATGCATCTTGTTGCCAGAATGCGAATAAGTTTATTGAAATATGGATCATCACCCTGATTTTAGGAGAAGGCAGGGGGAAGGAAGAAAATCAGACAGTTAACTATTAAAGTAATGCATGAAACAACTAGACAAATAGATGACACAGAGAGACTGCTAAGACAATTAATTAATATATCATCTGAATGAATTTATACTTCACGTAAAACATCTACTGAGGAGGAAATTTATCTCTGAAATTTTCCTAATAGTCACATCAGTCTGCATCATAATGATACTGTTTGTAACCCTTAGAAGTCTTAATCTCCTTGGGACAAAGACACACAGTGACCCATAATTTAAATTTGTTCGTAGCAGACAAGTTCCAGAATATAAACTAGCATTCCATACAAGAAAAGCCCATAAGATGCATTATTTGTTAAAAAGTAAATATTCTACAGAAAATTACTTAACCAAGCTTTCAAATTCTGGCACTTGAGAAGCATATATATTCTTTTCTATGATTGAGAATACTAAAATTAATGAGATTATATTCTTTTTTCTACTGATAAACTAGAGATGCATGTGTCACTCAGTGGGATAAACTTGAAGGACAACTAACCACCGCATGATCAAGTGAATCAGCGAGAGCTTTCGAAGATGTGACATCCAAACAGATACCAACAGCAGCAGCAGTTCGAAGTAAAGGTTCAAGCATCTCTTTAGTGGGGCTTGGATGCCGTCTGCATGTGATAAAGATTAACTTAAGATTTAAAAATGGAAATCTCAATGGCAGAGTAAAATACTATCTGGTTAAAAGATAGCTAGAAATTACGCAAAATGAGCAATTTGCATAGTTTGTGAAGAGAGCCTAATATAGTACCTTAACAACGAGGTTAGGGGGAAATGTTCCAAAACTTTCTTAGCAACTGATATATTAGCAGCAAGCATAAACTCTTCAATCATCTGGTTTGCTTCTCGAATTTGATACATACCTGTACATAAAAAACATAAATAACCATACTGAAAAAGATCATAGAGATCACCAGGTCATATCCAATAAATGTAAGAGAAACCAAAAGAGAAGAAACTCTTAGTAAATAGTTGCCATATGAAGTTTTCAAGTCCCGGAAGAAACTCTTGACTACATTATTCAGAAAATGCAAACGAAAAGAATCTAGCTGTAAGTAATTTCACTGTAGTCTGATAGTGAAAAGCAGTGACATACCGATATCAAGGGGATCATGAGTTTCAGTATCGATTTGAAATTTGACTTCAGCAGAAGCAAGCGTTAAGGCTCCTCTCTCAATGCGTTTTTGCCTCATTATCTACAAATTACAGGGGTAACCATTCATTTTTTCAAGAAAAACGATTGTATAATATAACCAAAAAAATTTACCTTTGCTAAAGCATTCAGATTACGCAGATCTGTGGTCAATGGATCCATCAAGCGACTGAAAGTTAGAAGTTAGGAAAGGCAATGAGAAATGGGAAGCATAATAGTTTTTGTTGTTAAAAAAATCAGCCAGATAACTATTCTTGTATAACACAAACTACATTCCCAAAAGTTCCCAAAAAATAAGTCAAAGCAACTGGTCATTGTGCATAAAAAGAGAAGGAGAAATGTCGAAAGAGTGATGAAGGATAGCACAGAAGAATCCAATTTCCAAATATATTCAGAAATAAGCAAAGAAACAGAGCTTGAGCCATGTACACTCCCACAGTCAACGAAAGCACAAGGCACTTATGCTTATAAAAAATATTTGTCTCTTAACTAAGAACCAGAAATAAATGATTATAAGCTAGTTATATTTCATTAAACACAAATTACATACAATTAATAAGAGCAATCGAATAACGAGTAATAATAAGTAAAATGACTGATAATTACAAGCTCTTCTGAGTTTTGATGTTCTGTATTTTTGCCTTAAAACTCATACTTTTGTTTTCTTGCCCCAATTATGCTTTAATGTCTCTGTGTGTTCTTTTGAAAAGCTTTATTAAATAATTCCTAAAAGGTGCTTCAAAATGAGAAATTGAACATTGTCTAAAAGGAGAGCCCGAGCACACATAACAACATCTGCCTTTGGTCTCGTAGGCACTGTGAACTGCCATGGAGCCTCAGGCAGACCTAATTTGATAAGTACGCAATTTATTCGAGTGACATCAGACAATGTCCAAAATAAATGGATCTTCATATAGATTTCAATCAGCTGACTTTGGGAATGAAAAACAAAATAATAGGAAGCAACAAAGCTTAACATGAAAGCGGAGAAATAATAATAATTGAGTACTAACTAATTTAGACAAAAGCCTCAACCAACAGCACAAGGAATCAAGTCTGCACTGTCATCTTTTGAGTTGTAACCTGTTAATATTAGGATTCAGATTATAATGTTCATCTAATTTCAACCAAACCTCCCTTGGCATAAAATCACAAATCGTCTCTAAGGTATTCAACAAGATGACAAGAAACATTTTCAAGTGAAAAAGTAGCATTCCAAAAATCTATTAATGACTTTGTCGGATAGAACGTAAGAGAAAATCAGCATAAAGAAGAAACAAAAATATAACTACCTATCATCCATTCTCGCCTGAGCCTCCACATAAGATAATGCTGCACAAGATTTGATAATGGCCTTCGTATACCTTGTGGAAATAATTTCTGCTTCGGGTGTCATCTCCTAAATGATATGTCAATATAGGAGGACCAAATAAATTAATGGCCAATAATTTGAAGTATGCAAGAAAAAATAACATATGATTTAATTATTATTTTTTTCTTTCATTTCTATTTTCCCCTGGGACTCGGAGAGGGGATGAGAAAGGCTTGGAGGAAAAAAACAGAAGGAAATGCTTCTTTCGTGTGTTAAACCAAGATAAAACATGAAGGCGTAACATTAAGCAAGTGTAAAACAAACCTCCCTTTCATTTAGGTTCAAGTTTCCTAAATGAGAATTGTAAGGACATTTCAACTTCAATAGACTGCATAAACATTACATCCTCAGTACAGGAATAATTCCCTAAAATGTAGTGAATTTAACTGATACATGGACACAGCTTGCAAAAGCCACCGTCTAGTAGGAGCAGCTTGGGTTCTATACTTCCATTTCTTAGGTCTATTCATGCTAACTCACTTAGATAACTAGCTTTCCACAACGGCTCAACTAAGTTAGTATCTGAAGCAAATATACAACTACACCTAAACTAGTTCTAAAAAGCACCTGCATATCAAGATAAACTCTCAAGCTTACCATCCTTTAAATACAAATGTAAATTAGCAACAGCTGGAGCTGATGGCCTTTTCCGAATGGTTAAAACGATGAAATATTGTTTCACAATACTTACCAAATACCCAGACCCATAATTGAAGAGAGTGAAATTATTAAACTCTAAGTAAAATGAAAAAAGAAAAAAGAAAGGAAAAAAGATTAGCCATTTAAAACAAATTATAATAAGACAAGCATGTACCCATATAACAGAAAATGTTAATCTCTCGATATCTGAGCGCAATGAACAAATATCTGTTAACAAAGAGAAAACATGGTGTTAGGACAGGTTTAACTCTTTCCGCTATATATCTGCTTCAATACAAGATTCAAATGGAAATATAAACAATCCAGTAAATCGAAGTAGGACACCTTCTGTCAGAGGTTTCGGAAGCATGTCTATACGCCTCTCAACAAGATAGACAGATGTACCCCTTTGGGCGGCCTCGTCATCTAACGGGGTTCCAGGTTGAACAAAGTTTGTCACATCAGCAATATCTAATGCAGAATTAAAGATCAGCAGTGAAAAAAAAATTATCATTACTACTTCCATAAATGATGGGACTGACTATTCTCAGTCATGTTCTAGTTATGGAATGCATATAGAGAACAAATCTCCACATGCTCGTGAAATAAACCACCTCCTAACACAGGATGCCCACGATTTCTTAACCATGTGATATGCTACAACCATTGAAGTACGCTTAAGGTGATATTCCTAGGTTTCCTGTATAGTCTATAACATACTAGTTAACCAGCCAATAAACATAAAAGCTATAAATTCCCATTCTCATCAATGAATTGATGTCCATTTTTAAGCCTTCATCGGTTGATCAACAATATAAAGATAATTTGCATAAAATAATATCAAAGCCACTAGAACAGTCTCCATACAGGCTCTAGGTAGCATAAGATAAAATGAAAGATAGCAAGAACCAAATATTATTTTTTTTATTGGCTTTCGAACTATTCTGAATTTCAAGAAGAAAACGAAAAACAGGATAGCAAAAATCATTCTTCTTGTTTAAAATGAAAAAACGTGAATCTTCAGCATGACAGCTCAGTGAATATATGAAAGGAAGGATTCTAACAAAGTTCATCATTCACCATAGTTCTTGATAGGTTTATCTCAACAACTCTTGCAAGTTTAGGTTGTTCTTAAAAGCCAAAATTATGATAAAATTTTATTATAGCCTGGCTGATCCAACCTAATCAATTGGATTGGGATTTTTTATTGGAAGAATTCATCATTATGTCCGATACATGAGACAAAGAAAAAGAAGAATACGAAAACAAACGCGTTTTCACAGGCTAATATTCTCAGTGATGCAAATAGGATGGAAACCAAAAACACGAAACCACACAAGAGAAGATAAAATGATCTGCTGCAATGACATCTCAAAGGAGTATTAGAGACAATCAATAGGCCTAAAAATGTTCATTTAGATAAAATAAGTAGATCATGAAAGGATACGAACTCCCACTTCAAAATGACCATTTGGAAGAAGTGTGCAATGCAATGCATCATCAATGTCCTTGCATCCTGCACCAACCGAAAATTTGATTAACCATGATATGAGTAGAAATGCAGCTTATGTGATAGGTCTTGATGTAGCATTGACGACCAACAATATTCACTGAAAAGAGAAAATACCTGGAGGATCAACACTGAAAACACGTAAATGACGCAAATCTTGCCTAATGGGATTCACTATATCTTCAGCAGAAACAACCCATGGTAAGGGTGGCAAACATGCCAAAACTTGAGAAGAAAATGGTCTGGCATCAATATCATTCTCTATCAGCACCACCTGCAGTTAATACATTTTCAGCTTCACACATTCATACTACTAATAGTAGACTTCCCATCCAGATATGATATAAGTGTCCCATTTTGTTATTGGCATGACAACTTAGAAAAGGCATGCATTGTTTTAAACTTCCATTTATAATATTTTATATTACGTCGCTATCATCTTTATAGCTGGACCAAGCACCATAATATTAATAGGTGAGAGAAGACTTCATGGCGTACTAAAATAACATTTAGTGTCCCTGTTACAGCCATATTTTTTAACTTTTCCACTTCAGGTGGGAGCTACTGCTGCCTCTTGAACATGAAGCGACAGTAGAGAAAAAAATAAAATAAAATAAAATAAAAGCAATTAGGGACGGGTGTAATGGAGCTGGATAGGCCAGTGTTCCTTTCAAATCTTTTTTATATGTGTTGCTAGTCAGAGGAGCTATTGGCACCTATCTGGCCTACAGTTCGGTAAAAGGCTATAACTGTTGCAGTCGATTAATTAGATAGAGTTACGTAAAAGGCTATAACTGTTCCATCACGCAGTCATAATATTTTAAAAATGACAGGATATGAATAAGGACAAATTTTAGAACATACCTCACTTTCAGTATCTCTGTCACCTATCTGGCCTATGGTTCTTACATAATGTCCAGAGGGATATCGAGACACTCGATCCCATGAATCAACTGCAACAATGATTCTTTTGTCTAAGAGGTTACCAAGCTGACGGGTTTGTATCCGGATCTTAGGGATTCTACGATCTTTGGAGACAAATAGAGCATGGGCAACACTACCCTCACCCGCAGGCATAGGCATTGGGTCCAAAGATCCACAATAACTGCAAATGAGAGCTTGAAAGTTCAATAAAAAAAGAGAACCAACAAATTTATCAGCTGAACATAAGCAGCTATATATTTCTCACACTTCTATGGTTTTCAGTTTATTTCCATTCGAGGAAAGAACTTAAGTTTTTGCTCTCATACAAATAATGAATCAGCTAACTGGATAAAATGAGGAAGAAAAGCAAAAATTGTTTCAGTTGCCTTGGTGGTCCCTATTATTCAAACCTATGAAAAATGCTAATTTGAAATAAAGCTTTGACATAAGGTTTTGATATTATGTGAAGTGGAAGTTTAATGACTGCTGATGTCACGTATGTATTACGTTAAAGTTACGGCATCCCTTATGTGCATGTAGCACAACTGTCCCCTTATTATGCATCAGAGGATAATAGGTGAGAGAACTGTGCCATATTATATTTTTCCATGTATGTTATGGAAACAAACTGGTATGAATATGACTCAGAAGTTAATAATTATGTTTTCACTCTAATTATATTCTAGGATAAATTAGACCCTTTTTTTTTGTCCCTCATACTGTAGTATTAAGTCTTACACGTCAAAGCACTGGAAAACTCAGTTTCACGAAGAAAGGTAAAAGGTTTATTCAGTCATTTCACTTACGAGTGCCAGTTACGTTTTATAATGCCAATAACACGACCACATGGACGAGTTGGCAAAGTATTTTTATCCTCTGAGGAAGCCTGCTTTACATTCGAAACTCTGGGAGCATCATCAGCACTGCTTGGAGCTAAATGAACATTATCATCTTCTTCCTCATCCTCTGGCATACAACAGAAAATGAATTAAAGAGATTTCTTCATAATGAGTTAAGAAGGAGGCCAAAAATCACTCCCTCAAAGAAAATACACGAGGCTTCGAGAGAGGAACATTTATACGAAGTACTGTAGAAAATGGGTAATGACCATGCAGACAAAAGTGACCACTACACGTGCTAGAAGGTTAATGTAACATTAAAATAATTAGAGTACAATTCTTCCACTGACTTCATGAAGTCCTTCGCAGGCAGAACTTTCTTAACTGAACTGTCCCTGGGTAGCCAAATTATCCAAATCCAACATGTATTTCTTACCAAATCAACATGTATCCAAATCCAATCATTTCACAATTACTTAACCAAGCATTCCAGCATAAAAATATAACATGTTCATATATTTGTTTTGCAGCAATCATGTAAAAATCAACGCAATACAAAATGATAAAAAAATATAGTAGAAACCACAAACCATCATTCATTATCCCCAGATATTTCTCTTCTTGCCACTGATCTATAGGTAGAAGTTCCACAACCACTATATCACCGTCAAATGCCCTATTCATGTTTGCACGCCCGTAAATAATAATTTCATCTCCGATGCTCTCACTCCCAACATATGCTTCAAATGGGTTGTAACGGTTAACCCGCAATTTTCCTTGATGGTAAATGCCACGGTGCAAACCAGATGTAATTTCCGACATGGGCTTATGCTGGATGAGAAGCAGGCAACATAAACAATTAATATGAGGCGTGACTAAATAAAAGAGAGGAAAAATTATCAGTAGTGCATGGAGTTTAGCATGAACACCTCAGAATAGATTGTTTTTCTCTTTGAAGGTCTTGGATCTTCTGCATCCTCCATTGCGACATCAGATGGAGTCTGAACTATCAGATCAAGTAATGCTGGCTGACCGAGCGATTTGACATACGACTCAACTGAAGTGAAAATAAAGCAGCATTACTAGATTGCCGAGATAAATATCCTACATCAGAGTTGAGGTATGCAGTGGGCATTACATCCAAACCGGTATGAATTTGTACAAACTTAACTTTCAGTCCGGACTATGCTGGAGTTGAATCATGATGAAGTAGAAAGAACAAACGTATAAAAGAATTAACATATACCAGTCTCCACAGAAATCCCATCCTTAAGGGCCTTGATTCTGTTTTCTCTGTCATTTGTAATAAGTAAAACCCGTACTGCATTGCCAACATGACTTTGATACCATTGGGCCGCAACCCGAATTGCTGATTCATCATAATTATTGTGAGAAAAACATAATCAATATACAAAGAAGAATTTTTTTTGTATGTAATTTATCTATACAAAGTTCAAAATAATTTAAAATTCTCTTTTGTATAACCAGTTAAGTTAGATTGTTCAAATATAAAAATAAAAAACGAGTAACAATTATAGTGTTAAAATACAAATAGGGTCTTCTATCTTTCTTTAACATTTAATATGAGATAAGCTCGAGCTTTTTAGAAAAGCTCGCCCTACCAAACCAAGATCATTTGAATACAGGAAGCTTATAAGCTAATCAAATAAGCTATAAGCTAGCTTATATGCTTACCAAACACAACCTATATCTTTTTATTTTGAAAAGGTCTAACGTGCCTACATGGATTTCCATATTCATATGCCAACCATTAAAAGGGTAAAAAATTTAGGGGACTTGGAGTCAAATAAATGGGAACTGTTATTCTTCTTTTTGTTCGTCTCATTTTGCATAAACCATGGAGTCTTGAATTTATGCAAATATCGTACCTCTGTCATTTCTATCATTTGGACTTTCACCAGTCTCAATCTTCACATATGTATCCCTATAAGCAGAAAAAAAAAATAAGTATGCATTCTTTAGCCTTAGATTACTCCACATAAATATATATATTGTACCAGCTATAAATGCAAAATATAGATCTAAACAACCTATTAAAATCTGATTATTATATAAACTACGGAATATAAAGACAACTTCAGAGATGAATTCTGATCAAACAGAAAGGAAATTTTAAGAAAATAAATAACCATACTGATGACACCACCATAAGCACTTGTAGCATTCAAATCAATATGAAAAAGGTATAAATCAAGATGAAGATTGAAGCAAGCAAAGCAGAGAACTAGCCTACATATAAGAATCTGATTATCAAACAAAACAGTAAAACTAAAGAAACATCTGAATGGATAAACTACTCCACAAATGGTTGCTAATCATACAAAAAAGGAAGTTTGAAGCGACTAAAACATAGAGCTGATGACACTATTTAAGTACCATTAACAATAAAATCAAACCAAATCAAAAAGGCAGAAATCAAATTCAGATATGGGCATACTTGTGGTATTCATTGGAAAAGACAAAGAAGCTCCTAAGCGGGTTGCTGCAAAGCGCCCTTAGTCTATTGTATACAGCAAGATTTCTGTTTTTCACCTCCTCCAACACTATTGATAACACCACCACATCATTCATGGCAGGATTTTCCAGCAGATCAATCTATCAAATCCCAAAAAAAAGAGCAACACAAAAATGCACAAGCAAAATTCAAAAGATTCATTTAAATGGCACTCAATTTCCTGGAATTAAAAAGGAAAAAGAAAAAAAAAAAAAAAGGAAATTGGACCTGATGAAGAACAACATTGGTATCAACAATGATGATAGTTGAGGTAGTGGAACTGAGGCGCGCCGCCCCAACATCGCAAACTTTGCAGAAAGGGACACCACAGTATATATCGTCCCTTAAATAGTGTTCTCTTACAACCTGCAAAACATGTGACTAGTTAAATTCAAGTTCCAAAACAACCTACAAAAGATATGTTAAACTCGAATTCCAAAACCCTCCACACCGCAATACATCAACCTTAAACAGGAGAAAAAAAAAAAAAAAAANATACGGGATGGAGGAGAGAGAGAGAGATTATAGCCTATAGGACATTAAGGACCTTGACTACTTTCCCTTGCTTGGTTTTCTTGACAAAGGACTTGCTCTGTAACATTCTGAAGAAGCTTCGTCCTCTATTGGAATCCGGGAGGAGGTACGACCTTCGGGAATTATGGGGGCAAAAAGGCGGCGGCAACCGGCGGCGGCGGATAAGGGTTAGAGGCTGCAAAGTAGTTGGCGAGCGCGAGCGGCGGGCTTTTTGTATTGTGCAAACTGAAATTTGACCACTGTGAAAAAAAAAAATCGAACCATTTTAACTTGGAAAAATACTATTTTACCCTTGAACGCAATTTTTTTGGTGTTATTTAAATATACTGTCCTTCTTGGACCGTTTTGCTCATGACATTTTTCTAAAAAAAAAACTCAAAAAATCGTAAATTCTCTTAAATTCAGGCGATTTCCGACGAAAATGAGCGACGGCGAGGTATGAATTATCAGCTCGTTGGCTTATTTTTTATTTAATTTTTTTTATTTGTTACTGATCAATTTTTTATTTATTATATTAATTATATTAGAATTTTTGAATTATTATGTTATAGATTAGAATTTATTATCTTATAGAAATTATTATCATTATGTTAGAACTTATTTAGTGTCCATATCTAGTTATTTAGTGTTTTTTTTCATTAGGGACTTATGTTTCATATATTTTTGTTGGAATTATAATATGTTATTTCATTCTTTTTGTATTAGCATCATTATTTTATTTTTGAAAAAAAAAAATACATTACAAACTCATTTATTCTACATTTTATTTTGTTCAAATAATGATATGTGTTGATGACCAGCTTGATTTCCTACGATTAATGATAGATTGGATATTTTATCCTATTAATAATCCTTTTGAACTACTTTTTAGCGGCCAACCTAGTTCAACTCGGTACAACTGAACAATGACCGACTTCGGACAACTAAGGAAATAACCGACAAATCTTCGAGCTTCAGAAACCGACTTCACAAGAGAGAACCAACCTCACAGACATTTACATTAAAGCTTATCCATTAAACTGAAGTCCGAGAAGATCTAATTTCAAAGCAGGAGACGTTGTATGCTTTTTATTGGACATCAAGTCAAAGAATAATCATTGATGTTCCCTCATTCCATTACACACTGTTTTATTAAAGCTGTTCAACATTAAATGCGACTTGATCTACCTCGGACAAAAAGACAAAATCGCCGTACTATAAATAGTAAAATTTATTATTGTACGGGGATCCTTTTTTCGCACATTGTACATGGACTATAAATATCTCGGTTATGAACACAAAACCGACTTCCTGTACTCTCGTGAAACGATCAATAATACATACATTTGCATTAATTCTCCTTTAATTATACGTTGTTTTCGTTTAATTGAATTGTTAAATTTCGTACAACAATAATATGTTTAATAATTACTAAATCACGCATTTACTAGTTATATAATAATCTCTCTCTGTCTATATATATGTATATATATAATAAGAATTATTATTTACCAAAAATAATAGCAAAAAAAATAGTTAATAATTTAATGCAGCTTATAAAATGTAAGTTTCATTATTATTATTTTTCTTTAAAAATCATACAGCATTAAATGTTACCTTAAATTTCAGGCTTTAGTTCATTTTATTATTTAAAAAATTCGGCTGAGATTTATTAAGTGTGTATATTTTATTTTATTTTTTTCTTAGAAACAACGAACAACATTAAAATCTCGGTCTCTATATTTATAAAATCTCAATTCAAAATATAACTTTACATTTGTGTCTTTAAAAAATATTGAACGCTAAAAATATTCTTTAAATTGCATAATCAATCAATTAATCTTAATTTTTTGAAAAATACTATGTTTAGTTTTTATTAACATGCATAAAGTAAAAATAATTAATTCAACTTTAGATATATAATTTATAATCTTAACGTACTATCATTTGGTGTAGACATTTAGTATATGAATAATAAAATATTTTTATTTCATAAAATTAAATATATTTAAAGAAAATAAGAAAATTTCTTTGGATCAATCGGATAATTGAATTAGGGTACTGTCCAGGTTGATTGAATTAATTTTAGGTGATATTTAAATTAGTAAAAAAAACTTGACACAACTTGGTTGGTTCCAGGTGACTAAGTTATATACCGGTTTGACCACACCAAATCGATTATTGAACCTAAATATAAATTTTATTAAAAATATTTTATTACGTGAATGTGATGCAGTCCAAACTTTAAATAATCGTATTAACAATACTTTTATGACAACATCTTTAATGATTTATGAATATTTATATATCATTTTATTAATATTTAATTTTATTATAAAATTTATTAATGTACAGTAAATATAAGGTTTTCAGAACTGGACCGTCATCGAACGATCAAGTTATTTTATTTAATCATTTTTGGTTTGTTCAGATTTGAATTTATAAACATTTTAATAGATATATATATATATATATATATATATATAGTACTTTTTGTAATAAATTTAATAAAATGTGTTACTTAGATATCTAAAAAATTACAAATTCAAATGTTTAAATTAATTGATAAATAATTTATAAATCTCTATTTTATTTAAATATGTAATTTTATTTAAAATAATTTTAAATATAACAAAATTTATTTAGAAAATCGTATCGATCTTACCAGTCCAACCGACTGGTATTGACGGATTCGAGAGCAAATATTTTATTTAACCGAACTAGACTGGTTATAAATCGGTTATCGGTCTATCCGGTCGGACTGTGTCCAACCCGGTTTAATTTAAAAACAATGGATAAATCATGATTAATATTATTTATATATTAAATTTATAATATAATCGTAATATCGTTTTTCCCGTTGTGCATCGCACGGGCCACGCACTAGTCGTTATATAATACTCAGTTATACAAATAACTGGAAATCCTTTATTATATCCTTCGGCCATAAGACCGAAAATTTTTAAGCTCTCTTACCTGTAGGTGATTGGAAAACTGCAAATCCTTGAAGATTTCCACTTTCATTTTTTTTTTTTTTTTTTGGTTANTTTTTTTTTTTTTTTTGGTTTGTGATTGCAATGTTGATTAGGATTTTAGGTGCATACTTTAGTTTCTTCCTCATCTTTTTCATTTTAATTCTCCTTCTTGCGTGTGGGCTCTCAACTTTCTGTCTTTTCCTTTTTCCTTTATCCCCCTGTGCTTCCACAATCATACCTACACAACATGTAAAGTAACCTAACTAAACTTCCCAATGTTACATTCACCAATGAAATTTCCAAGTCAGGCAAGACGGTAACAGCTGACACGCCTTACAACACCCAACCACAGCTGAGGTATAAAATGTAATCAATCGTTGGCAACTCATGTGATTACGCCATTTGCCGGAAAATCAAAAACTTGCCACAATGCCTCTAGTGCACAATCATCAAGTATAACCAGGCATTTACAATGAAGTCAACATACAGATGGCATGAAATATCATGAACACAGGGCATGTATTAGACATATATATACAGATGATAGGAGAGTCTGCTTTCAAGCACAGGCAACACGTAATCCACTCACTTGTCGGACGGGTTAATAATTTAATATAAAGAAATGGTCAGGTTAGCAGTCTCATAAGTAACATAACCTTAATATACATACACTCCAATAGAGACAGTCGATATTCCAACGAGGCAGTATAGACACTTTATCCCGTAGCATCTTGAACTTGTCTCCTCAAAAGAACCATAGCTGCAATGCTACAACGAAACAAGTGACGCAAGTTATAGTTGTCTAAAGGCTTATGTCAAAACAAACAGTATAAGATTATCGAAGTGTTTACCGAGAAAAATACATGCAAATGTCATAACTTTGAACTGTCGGCATTAAACTTGGTGATATTAAGCTAAGTCTCCAAATAAAATTATCTCAGGTGGATTACACACTAAAACTGAGATTTTAACCTAATTTGTGAGTATGTGCGCGCGTGTGTGATTCCAAGTTACAATTTCCTACACTGAAGTACAACCAACCCGTTGAGATTTGCATTTTCTTAAAAGCCTTCCCTCTATCGAGGATGCAATTTGTAAAATTGAGAGAAAGGGTACTTGCAATTTTTTAAAAGTGAGCTGATTTTTTTTATAATTTTTTTAATCCGAAATTCATATATATATATATATTTCGTAATAACAGCACATTTTTGGTATCCCGAATGGGAAAGAAACAATTAAACAAAAAGGTTGATTGCTATAGAAACACCTTCCAAATAGGATGTGAATAGCACACTGTCACTCAACGAAAACATGGCCGCTAACATGGTAAAGATCCTTAACTTTATTGTTCACCAATTCTGAAATTATTAGCAGTTAGTATATATCACAATACTTCTTCACACTAGGAAAGTTACCTCTGCGCGAAAGAATGTGATACCACACAGCAATCAGAAATCACTGGGATCCATTGACAGCCCACCACCGCCAAAGTGTCCCGATATCTTAGCCTTGCACATAGGGCACATGTAGCCTATAGTATCTGATGGAGTTTCTGATTCAATACCCTCGAGTCTGAACTCTGCTCTACACCACACACACACAGTCAGCTTATTTATGTCCACCGTGTTCATCACAACTTCGTCTGAACCGAATGCAACAGATGAATCAAATCCGTCTACTACCCCACTGCCATTCCCCAAATTCATGTGCTCGCCTGGCAAGGACGGCAACTCTTGTCCGTTTTCAAAACCGTATTTAAAAGGATCTAAATCTTCAAACCTCAGCTCTTGAAACCCCGAAACATTGTCAAGCTTCTGATCAACTACTGAAAAATCATGCGCTCTCTGCCAATAAGCACGGTAGAAAATAAAATCAGCTTCAGCAAACTTATAGCGGAACTAGTAGCTGCATGCAATCTATAGGGTAAACATATTAAAAAACTTCGGTAACTCTGTACAAGTAAAATATACAGTGACAGCTGCTTTTTTAGAGGTCACAAATATGGGCAGTCAATTCCAAATGAAGGTTACACAGTTAAAATGCTAAAAAGCTGATGCCTATAACATGGAATAGAAGATAATAAGAGCAATTTTGATGCCATGAAACATGGATTCCATCCAGCATAAATATAGATAGCTCTTAATTCCGCTGAAATTAAAAAATTGGACATTTTGGCTACTCAATTCAGTGACAACCCCAAGGAGTATTTCCGAAAAGAGAAAACATTACCAAATTACTTTCATTTACATAATTAACACAACTATGTTACCTTATTTGACCCAGAATCGAAGGTGGGGAAAAATTGAAATGATTGGGCCAAGGGCTCGGAGGAAACTGCGTCCTGGAAATCAATATCTCCCACAGTTAACCCAGGTATATCTTCCAGATGAGCATCATTGGGCTTCAAACATCTGTCTCCATCACCCATATCCAAACTACAGTGTTCATACTTATCGATGTTTTCACCCGACCTCGCTGCCTCTGAGTTATTTATGCAACCAGCATCTATCTTAACATTCGCATCCCATGAAAAATCATTCTCAGTCATGCTGTGATCTTCCATCATGATTTTATTACCGTGACTCAAGTCTTCAGTCACAGTCAGGTCACCACAGTGATCTTCCTCCTGAATTTTGGCAGGTTCAGTGGAGTCCACACGAACTTCTTCGATTTGCAGTAGATTTACAGATTGATCAGCTGTGGCTTGTTCATGAGTGACAATACTGGAAGGCTCGAAAGTCGAATTCTGAGCGATTTCAGTTGAGACATTCATATTCGATGACCCTGAGGGAACTGCATCCAGCGCTTGAGGTTTGTCTTTTTGTAGGATATTCACAGCAAGGGCTAATTCATCAGGATGTTTTCCGGAGTTCCTCACATGAACCCCCACATGGCTGTTAAAAATATGCCTTTCATCAAAGACCTTTTGACAGAACTGGCATTCGTATTTCCCATCTTTAATGATCACATCCTCTCCAACAGGCGTCCCAAACTTGTACCTCTTCGTAGTATTCTGGTGGAACGAAAAAAGATGCTGCAAATATAAATTCTTCTCATCAAATGCGAGGTTGCATTTGAAGCACTCAAAAATATCCTTAACTTGAACTTCGGGGAGGTTATCTATGCCCATCAAGTAATCTTCAATGTCAACTGAATTGGAAGCATCTATGACAAGAGCTGAATGGGATATTTCACCATGGGCCATATCATCCGTCTTATCAGCAGGCAGTTCATCCTGCCACAGATCCATTTAAACTCATTTTGTAAAGGTTTCCAACATTGAAGAAAAAGAAAGAGAAACTAGATATGAACATGTATACCTTCCCGGAAGACAAGACATAGGCTTGCTGAATGCTGCAGGTCTTTTGCTCCCTTTGTTGTTCTGTGTCATTACCAGCAAAATATGACTTCAAAAAAGAAGCTGCCTCTTTGCATGACAGAAATTGTTGTCCAGTGGGGCTGGGGATCAGACGAAGAATAACCCAAATTAGAAGATCGAAATAACTCAATCAAGCTACAAAAGTACGATGTAGAATTTAGTGGCGAGTACAAGCTCAAAATAACAAATAAAACTGCACTTCCAAATATTACACTGTTTCTCAAACCACGACTTCAGAGCATACATCCTAGTATCCTACCCAGTAATGAATATCGAGCATCTGTCACTAATTCATTGGACCACCTAGATACTGATATTAGAAACAAAGAATTTCTGAAACTCGAGAAATTCTGTCATTGATGGCCGCTTTAAACGTACTCAAGGCCACACTAGAGCACAACCAACTATACTAAAGAAGTAAAATCATTAAAAGGAAAAAGGCCGCAGATGAATATAAACATGTGCAAGTAGCTAGAATGAGTACAACCATGAAAAGGTGCCTTAGAATCATTGTAGAGTCAATCCTAAGATAAAAATACTAATGATATTTCTGATGTCATCTCTAACATAAGTGTAGCATTTTTCATATATGTCAAGATCACAAGACCAAAAATGTGAATGATAGTTAGCCATTTGAAAAAGGTAGGAACAACAACGGTCGGTCATTCACAATATGATATTAACAGCAGTTGATGTGCATCAGAAGAAAATCACAAGCATGTTACATGCCTCTAGCACATAAAGGATTAGATCAAAAGTTAATCATGACAGAACATTTCTCAAGATAACTTCAAAATTGTACACACAATAAAACTTAGTAGCACACTGAAGAAGAAAATGTGCTGATGATTGATTATTCATAATTGACAGACACAAAGTTGTTAACTATAAATAGACAGGTAATCTCAAGAACCACCGGAATCTATAAATAACAAATCAAATTTTGCAGATGTAACAATCCAAAAGCAATGTGAAGCCCACGGCATAACAATGAAGCAAAGTTCAAAATGCAGACTATGCAGTTCAAATGACAACACTAACAAGCCACATATTCTTACGCGGAAATCCACAGGTTCCTCCAAATACACAAATTAATACACAAGTGCACATGCAAACAAAAGCAAATATCAAAAAATACACATGGAAAATGAAGTGTTCACCACCTTATACATCGGCGGCAATAAACAGAAAAACGGTAATCACGTCTCCTAAGTCCAAGCAAGAGTTTCCAGCCAATCGGCAGTACATATCCAAACATACCAGCATCTACATACTTCCTCTTCTTCCTCCTGCTACACCACTGCCCTTCCAAACCACTCAAAAACCCCAAAACATCCTCCTCAGTCTCCAACCCTACAGTCCTTCTCCTCAATTCTTCACTGTATAGCTCATCCCCTTTCTCCTCCAACTCCACCAAATCCACCACCTCACCTCTGCCATTAACCCCCTGCAGCTCCACTCCCACACCATTTTCCAGAAGCTTCTTTTCACTCATTATTTTTCCGCTCCTCATCCTCTTCCGCTTAATTTTCGAGTTCCCCTGTAACCCTAGATACCCTAAGTCGCCGATCGGAGCCGCCTCAGCTTCCGGATGTTCATGCAGCGGTGGCGGTGGAGGAGGTGGCGGACTGTAGTTTCCGTTGAGGAAGTGTTTGAGGAAATGGACGATAGAGTGTGTCACCGGGTCGGACGAAGGCTGTGGTTGGCGGTGGGGTTTGAGGGAGTGGTGGGGACCCGGGAGGCGTGAGTGCGAGCGGTGATGGAGGCGGGAATAGGTCTGGCGACGGCTGCCGGCGGACTCGTTGAAGACTGACCGGTCGAGCTGCGGGGAAACGACGTCGTCCGTACGGCGGACGTCGAAGGCGGAGCCGGAACATGAGGATAGGGCTTGAAGTTCCGACTGCGACAGCTGGCCGACGTTTAAACGCTTCAAATCATCCACCCTAATTCCGATGCCATGGAAGGCCGGGCGCGGCGGGGGGACAGGATTAGCGGAGTCGACGCCAGCCATTTTCAGAGATGCTTTTAGAAAATTACACGCAGGTAGGGTGGGGGTGTGTGGAAGGACTTTTTGAGTAGAGATGAAGATGACGGGGGACAAGTGAGGTGGCAGTTTGGTATAGGTAGCAANGACATTCATGTATTACGTGAGTGCATGAAAAAATAATTTGAACAAAAAAAATAAAAAAATTTAGTATTGTAGTATATACAAAATAAATAAATGAAATAAATCTCGTTAGAATATGATTTTAGAATCAGCTACAAACTCAATTGAAGATTTTAGAGTGTGAAGAAATTTATTACCATATAATCGCAAAAAAATTGGAAACATTGTTGACTCAATTATCAAATAAAAGAATATGAAAAAAAATTAATGCAGATATTGTTTTAGTTAACTCAATTATAAAAAAAGAGTATAAAATAATAATTTTTAAATAAAACATTGTTAACTTAATTATCAAATAAAATACACATTGTTAACTCGGCATTGATCCAATGTCAAATAAAAGATCAATTTTAACTCAATTATTTAATTCAATTGATCATTAAAATGGAAAAATAAAATACGGAAAGAAAGATTTAAGTGTTCTTTGAATTCAAAACAAATTTGGTAGATTGATGGAAGGTAATGATATATGGTAGAAAAATTATTTATGTCACTTTCCAAGTCAAATTTGTTTTCAAATTTTTTATCCGAACCTAAATACAAAGAATGATACTATGACATGTAGGACTTCAAAGCGTGCGAGCCTACCACTAAGGTCAGCACGTTTTGAATTAATATATAGGAGGCTTTAAAAATAATGATTAAATTTGATGTCTTTAAATGTATGAGAGTTAAATTAATTAGATTATGATTTTGAATTAAAAATATATAAAAATATTATCCGACCAATTAAAAATGTATAAAATTAAATTTCAATCGTGACCTTAAATTTCTTTTGTTTGGTTTCAAAGTTCCAAAAGGAGAGAGAGTGTTTTCAATCGTGACCTTAAAGAAGGGAAGTGTTTTGATTGAAAATAAATTGATCATTTTGCTCTTATTTTTAATTTTTTAATTCTCTTTTTCTTATTTCATTAAAGATAAATTTATAATTCCAACTTTATTTTCACTCCCTTCTTTAATTAACCAAATAACGTTTATCATTTTTCACGCCCCCTCCCAACAAATCCTTCTTTTAAAATTATTTTACATCACCTTCTCTCTCTTCCTCTCCACTAAGGGGGGTGTATTCCTTTGAGATTCTAAAAGAATTTATAGGATTTTACTAAGAATAGGATTATATGGGATTTTATGAATTCTCATGGATTTTGTAGGATTTATTAGAAATCCCCAAAAGTGACATGTGGAATTGTTCAGGACTTCTATAGATTTCTTAAGACTTTTCAAGAATTTTGTAGCCTTTTATTATTGATTGAATAAACATCAACATTAAATATATAAATATACCATTGTGAGAACTTGTGAGAAAATTTATACATGAAAGAAAATAAAAATCAATTTGAACAAGGAAAAATGTGAATTTTCTATTTATTTTTTGTTTATTTATTTTTTTGTACAATAATACTCCAATTTATTATAATTTTTATTCTATCCAATAAACCACACCCTCAAGACATACAATTACTATATTTTTTCTCACTTATAATTTTATTCTATCAAATCAACCACATAATCTCAAGAAATAATTATATTTTTGACTGACAACATTAATAACCATTATGTTTGAAACTTTTGTGATATTATGATAATAATGTCTAACCTTATTTAAAGAGATTCTATAAAATTTTGTGCGAAAAATTAAAATATTGGAAAATATAAAGTAACAATATCAATAAGGTGCAAATTTGATGAACACAGAAGTGTCGCGTCTAATACAATTTCATATAAAATAAAAATAATAAGCAAGTCCAATTTCTACTTTATAGCATAAGGTGCAAATTTGATGAACACAAAAGTGTCGCGTCTAATACAATTTCATATAAAATAAAAATAATAAGCAAGTCCAATTTCTACTTTATAGCATAAGGTGCAAATTTGATGAACACAAAAGTGTCGCGTCTAATACAATTTCATATAAAATAAAAATAATAAGCAAGTCCAATTTCTACTTTATAACATCATTCCACGTTTCATTTGCTATTGCATCCCTCCATGCATTAGCGGCTGCTCTTTGTTATTCTTGACTTTCAAAAAATAGACCAAAATTATCTCCTTCGGTTATTGGACAAGATTGACCTGTTTCTTGTTCAAGTTCTGCTGGAAATTCATCAGAGCGACATTCTTTACGTAAAAAGTTATGTAACCCTGCACATGCCAATACCAGCTCCGCTTGCGTATGAAACGGAAATGGAGGTGGCGATTTGAAAATCACAAACCTTGATTTGAATATACCAAATATCCTCTCAATTACATTCCTTAACGAAGAATGCCTGAGATTAAACAGTTCCTTGGCATCGCTTGGGTCACGACCTTGACCTGTAAAATCATTAAGATGGTAGCGAGTCCCTCGATATGGAGTAAGAAACTGTCGTCTATTTGGATATCCACAATCGGCCAATAAGTACTTTCCTGCAAATAAATAATATAATTATCTCATGCTTGTGACATTAATAACAATGCATTAAAGAAATATGAAACGAAAGAGAAAATTATGAATTAATACCATCAGGAATTTTGAGTCCGTTTCTTCTTGTTAGCGCATCCGTCAAAATTTTTGAATCATGAGTTGAACCCTCCCACCCACTGAGCACATATATAAACTTCAGATCAAAGTTACAAGCAGCTAAAACATTTTGCGAAATTTGTCCATGCCGATTCCGATAACTGCTTGTATCATGTCCTATTATCATCGCTGGAATATGTGTTCCATCAATAGCCCCAATGCAGTCCTAAAATTTTTAAATTTTCAACATTAGAAAACAATATAATGATATTAAAGTAAATAATGTTATTACTTACTTTAAAGTATGGATAAAATCGTGTACTTTCTCTTATTTTCTGGGGAATTGTAGATCCTGGCTTAGCCAACATATCTACAGAGTATTTGGTTAGTGCTTTCAACACCTTGTTGAAATTCTGGCTGGTGGTGAAATGTGATCGACCAAATACTTGTCGTACTTGACAGTATCTATTATTTTGCCCAACAATAAGTAAGAATGTCGCAAGCATTTCCTCAACAGAAACAAACCTTGTGTCGCTCAAGAGTTGTTTCTCTCTAATGATACGGCATAATTTCAAGAATACATCGGGGTACATTCTATAGACCTCTCGGAAGTCGTTAGAATCTTCCCCAAGTATTTTATGTATATAATCATAACCATCCACCATTTTCGGCCTTCTGCTTAATGAGTAATTGACACGACCATGACACATATTAACCATAAGCACATTTGCCATGTAAAAAATTGCTTGAATGAGCAAGCATGAGTACCGAATGTATTTATATAACTCTTCTCTCCTGTCATCTTCTTCAATTTCATCTATGTCCATTAAATCATCTTCGTGCATATCAGTATCAGACATTATGTGACCTGTGATAATTAATAAGAGATGAAACGACATAAATTAATAAAATTCAAATAATACACAAATTAAAGATAAATAATTCCAACATCAAACAAGCCAGAAAATTCATATAGTTCATAGTACTCGAATAACATAGAATCCATGAAAATAAAAAAACCAAGTCCAACCTGCTCAAAACAATGGACATAGACCTAGAAGTTCATAATAATCTTATTATATATAAATCATTTCAACTTATATGCTATCCACTCAGCTCGTTCATCCAGGGACATGTTAAAAAACTCTGACTTTTTTGCTTTGGTATTAAGCAAATCAAGAGCTTTGAAACGATCCTCAGAAGTTAAGTCTGGAATCTCCTTAATCAAATCCCAACAGTTGTACTCTTTTGTGTCAATTGATTCAATAGCACGAGTAAACTTCTCCACATTTGATGTAAGCTTTTCTACGAGGTCTTGGATATCTTTAGGATCAAATGAGGTAGCCTTAGTTTGAGAATCAGTTTTAGCTCGTTTTCTTGGAGGTGGACGGGGCTCCGAGTATTGTTGTTGAGTCGAGGTTGGCACGAAAGAGTTCTCGGGAGATGGTGGAAAAGGATCTTGGGTACTTGATGGAATAAATGCATCACTTGAGGGATCATATGTGAAATCATCTAGCAAGCTCCCACTTTCTCTATTTTCTTCTATAGTGTCGTCTCCTATGGCAATAGAATATGTCCCTTTAGCTGTACCGTTACCAACTGCAATTCTCAGATTTTCAAAGTCTGGATGAGGGTCTGTCCGTAAGCTTGAATCGTTACGATGAGACTGGTAAAACAAAGAACAAAAATAATAATTTTAAGTTGTACCAAACTTCTTATTTATATATTATTTATACAAAAGCAAACAAAAAAGGGGAGACTAACCTTAAAGTAGTCTTCCCAGATTTCATCATCGGCAGTGAAGAACTTTGTTACAGAATTCCATCCAAATCCAGAGTTATGCCGCATAAGCTCATTGTACTTAGCATATTGTTTCCTAAAATATTTCACTCGACTTGTATATTGATTGTAAGTCCGAGTGATCCCTAACTTTTCATTCAAAGATTTTGTATATGTCTTTCGACTGTTATCTTATTTATTTTTTCAGCATGATCACGCCAACCACGATTACTAACATCAACCATAAGTTTAAGAAGTTCATTGCTCTCTTCAATAGTCCAACTTTGATATCCCGAACCTTGATCATTTTCTTTCATTGGATCTCCCATTGCCTATTATATATTTTTTAATGAGAACAAAAAAAAAAAAAAAAAAAAAAAACGAGAGAGAGAGAGACAGAGAAAGGAGCAAAAGTCACGGTTCTGGCACGTTGATAGCGAGCCTCCAAGCGCTCCTATCCACCGCTAAATCCTTGGAGATATTCCAATCTTTAAGGTCTCTCTTAACCGACTCTTCCCAAGTGAGTTTATGCAGACCTCTACCTCTCTTANATAGAATAGTACAGAAAAGACATAAAACAATTGATTATGATCAACATCAAATACACTTATTACTATGTGTTTTCTGTCCTATTTCTTTTTTTTTTCAACCACAATTTTTCATACCTTTCTGTTCAAAATCAAACCCAAGACACAAACTTTCACATCAATTGCACAACAGTAAAATTACCCCCAATCTTGAACTATAAACAAAGATTTTTTCTGTTTTATTTGCTTTTCCTTTTCCTAAACCGCAATGCACAGTGCCAAGAGATCCACATCCAACAAAGCAATCACCAAAAACAAAAAAGTACAAACTTAAAATAAAAGTCTCAAATTCAGAATGGGGCCCGAATCAATTTTAACGGCCCGGTTCGATTTATGATCAATCATACCGCGGACTCGGTGGGCCACTTATGCCTTTTCTCCTTCAAATTTCACACAATTTTTTCCAGTAAAACGATTAGTTAATTAAAGAGAACAATGATTGATTTTTTTTATTTTTTTTGTTTTTAACATCAAAGGAAAAAAAAAAAAGCTAATTATTAGCATCAAGATAAAATGTTTGTTAACAACAAAAGCAGAACATTTTATAGTTACAGGAAAAAGTAGCCCCTCTTTCGACCATAACAAACGTTTTATCTTGATTCCATAAAACAATTCTTTTTTTTTGTTTTTAACAACAAACACACAACAAGAATAAAAATAGCATAAAATTATCCAATCAAGAATAATCATTAACTTGGGAAAAGAAAAAATCACCATGAAATAATTTCATACATACACGTGAAACAGAATCAAAATTATTATACAAAAACACAATTGTAATGCTAATCACAAGTAGATGTTGGTACCTTTCAAGAGCAAAGTATGAGTCGTTCCCTGCTTAAAAGAAAGTCGTCCCCTCGTAAACCCTTTTCTGGCAAAATCTCAAAATCTTTCATATACTGGTGGGATTTGTAATGGGATTTGGTATATATACTTTCCCACTCAAATCTCTCTAAATCCAAATAAATGACAAATCCAATAGAATTGAAAAGGAAATGAATATCTCTTGATTTTATGGGACTTTAAAAGTCCAGATTGAATACCTATAGATGTTAAGAGACTTTTAAGAAGTCATGGAAAATCCAAATTAAATACCTCAAGATTTTTTAAAATCTTAGGAAGTCTGATTTAAATACACCCAGATTTCATAAATCCTAAAAAGTCTTTAAAAGTCTTTAAAGTTCTTAAAGGAATACACCCCCCTAATATCCCCCTTTTGTAAAACCAAACATATCCTAAAATGCTAGAACAAAAAGTAGGATTTTCTATTTTTGAAATGTTCAATAACATTATTTTTATTTTTACTAGTACAAGTGGACAACAATACAACACATATTCGACGAATAGCCACAACGAGTTTGTGATGGCTATCTCGCCGCCGTGAACAAAGCTCCGCCGCGACCAGCCCGGCAGGGCGCGACACGACCGGCGGCCAACTGACACACGCGACACGACCCGATCCCGAACAGGACGACTCCGCCATCTGTTCGTGTGTTGTTCCCGGTCATCCCGAATCCGACAGATTAAAAAAACTTTAAGCCGTAAGTTTTCTACGTCAAACCTTTAGATCCGCTGCGCATAGGTTTACGTTTGCTATCTTCTGTCTAGTGATTCCGCAGTGGTTGGAATTGAATTCGTGACTTGTACATAACGAGATCCTCATAGATCCCAACAGCTCTTGGGGAGCGTGGGCGGTGCTTCGGCTCGTGTGCTGCGGCGGGCGCCCCTGTCGTTTTGCGGTGGAGGGGTGGTGGTTGGTGCTGGTCTTTGCCTCTTTCTTCCGGCTACTCCATGGTGTGTGGAGAGAAGGTTTTCCGATGGGGGCAGTGTTAGTGTTATATACTGAAAGCTTGGCGTTGCATGTTATTAGACATTTACCCTTTATGAATGAGAATCATGTTACGACCTTACTTGAACAGGATCTGTTCTATAGGATCGTACCTCTTTATCTTTGAGATATAAAAAAAAAGAATGAAAATCATGTTAGATTGAACAAGTTCTACGTTCTGTTGTTCTGCACTTAGATAGGGTGGGTCGTCATCGGGCGAACCGAAGATCACTCTATCAGTCACTTGCAAACAAGAATAGTTGTTCACAACCTAGATGGACATGAACACCCCATCCGAACGGTTGTAGTGTCAATTGTACAGTTTGGCTTGACTGATTAGTTGCACTAGTACATTTATGTATTGAACATGATTCCAGAGAGGAGAAGTTCATTTTATATTGATCGTCGTAAATGAACTAGGCCTCGGTTAATTAATGCATTCTCTTAACCCGTAAGATATTAAACAGGCAGATATATATAATATATATTACTTTGACTCACATGGGTGAGGTTCAGTTCGCTGGATTAATATTCCTACTATTTTGGGTAATATTATTATATATATAGGATGTGCTGTTAGGATATTTACGATCACCATGTTCGTTAGTTTGATGATGTCCCCGGAGTGAGTTCATGAAGGATTGTTATGCTAAACCCTGCAGGTGGATTAAGTTCCGGCATAAGAAGAATGTGATGAACGAGCGCTAGCTTTGGTGAAATAATAATAAATTAATTAATTCTTGATTGTCAGTAATCGAATTAATTAATGGACATTATATCTTAAACGTGGGGAGGTAAATCGAGTAATTATTATTGGAGTCTCAAATGTAATTTGGGCTAAGAAAAGGGAGTGCAATAATATAATGTTGGTGGCCCATTAATATTATTTAATTAATTAGAGGAGTGGGCTTGGCCCACAGTTAGTCTAATTAATTAAGGAGCCATTTTTCTAATCTCCTAAGGGTCCCTACTGTAGCTCTATATATATATCATTAAGCTCATGAGAAGGGAAGAGAATCCTATTCTAACGTGAGACACGCCCCACGCCTCTCTCTCTCTCTCTAGATCTCATTCGAGCTTTATCTTCTTCTTGTTGCTCCACTGGTACAAGTTGAAGAAGGGTGTATTGAGTAATACAGTAGAAGATATATAGGTAAACCGAGACGAAATATATTTTGACCTACAGAACTAACCGAAAGTCCGATTGAGACGTACAGCATATTCAGACGACCGTCTCGACGAGAGCTTTCCATCGCCACCGAGATCACAACCGTCCGACACCTCATGCGCCCTCACGCGCCGCCGGAAGCTCCCAGGCTGCAATTTTCGTTTTGATCTGTTTGCATCCGTTTGATCCGATTTTGATCTGATCTTGTTCGTGCAACCCAAGACGTAATTTGCGGTCAATCAATTGCGGGCAACCGTTCGTGGTCAACCAGATCTACATAAATTTTAAGCCGTAAGTTCTCTACGTCAAACCTTTTGATCCGCTGCGCATAGGTTAACATTTGCTATTGAATTTGTGACTTGTACATAACGAGATCCTCACAGATCCCAACAGGCAGTTTGTGGTCGTGCTCGCTGGATAGTGTGGGGGCGAGAGTGGTGCGGGCTCTTGGCGTTTCCCCGATGTTATCACCCTTGTGGAGTGGGTTGGTTGTGACGGTCTGATAAGAGCTTAGCCGATGATGGGCTCCTTCGATGCCGTGTGTTTGCCATAAATTGTACTTTTTCCGTTTAGGTTTCTTTCGGGGTTTGGTTCGAGTGCTGAAGATGCGGTGTTGTTACCCGACCGTGGGGAGGGCTTTACTGTATTTTAGTAGTAGTTGTGGTTTTGTGTATTCTTTGTGTTTTTCGGTGTTTACTCTGTGTTTATTTGATTTTATTCTTTTGTAGGAGCGATGTTCTTCTCGCGTGGGAAGTTTATCTATTATCGTGTGTGCGTTGTGGCGTATAAAATTCTCTTTGAGATGTTCTTTAACTAGATTCAGCTTTTGGTTGCTAATAATTGTTTTTAGATTGTAATTATGTGTTTTAATTATAAAATTCCTATCGTTTGAAAAGAATAAAAAAAAATGAATGATATAATAAGATTGAATATCTATATATATTGAAAAAGAAAGGTTAATAAGTCATTTGTGGAAATTTTAAATTAACTGGTCAACAACACCATTGACTTTCCATTTGTGAAAACTAATTTAAAAATCTCACATTTAAAAAAAAAAACAGAATCATCGTAATTTGGTTATATCGCTAGGGATTGCCGGCGATTGAAAAACGGTATGCTGATGCTTCGGGTCGTGAGGAATGTTGTGAATCGCGAAGAATTGCTGCTGGGGACGATTGACGAGACTGAGAACGATCGCTGCTGGTCGCGGAGAATCTCAGGCGCGCTGCTGCTCCAATCACGGCCACGACCGTTTGCACGTTGCCGAAAATGGAGGATAAAACGGGGCCTGCTGCTTCTGTCGCCGGAAAACTGCGGGTCTGGTACGCACATGAGGGTCGCCGGCGATTCTAAGGCTGGGCCCGTCGGTGGTGATGATGGTGATGGCGATGGAGGAAACCGACACTGATGGTGGGCTGATCTATGAGCGATGGTGATGAGGGTGAGGTGATGATGGCGATCGGGAATGGACTGGGAAAAGAGTTTTCTCTGCTCGATGAAGACGACGAAAGAAAAAAAAAAGAAATTTGCTATTGTAGCTTAAAATAAATGAGCTAAGGATTCTGATCCTAATGGGCTTAACTGGATATGGACCGATAATGAATCGAACGAATTTAAATAGGACTACTAATCGAGCTCGCAAAAATTCTAAGGAGTCAAACAAAATAAATTCGTCGACAATGAAACGGCTAAGAAAAAAAATAATCGGATTCTTGCTAAACTGGAAATATACTAATCTCTCGGCTAAACTCTGGATTAATTTAATAGACGAAAATGTCTAAATAAATTATTCATCTCAAAATGATTAAAATAGACACTCACGTCTAATGAATCAAATTTACTGGTCGAACTAGAAAATGAAATGCAATAAAATGCATAATGTCATAACTAATCGAGATGTCTACTGAAATGAAATCAAATTTACTAGTCGAGCTAGAAAATGAAATGCAATAAAATGCATAATGTCATAACTAATCGAGATGTCTACTGAAATGAAATCAAATTTACTGGTCGAGCTAGAAAATGAAATGCAATAAAATGCATAATGTCATAACTAATCGAGATGTCTACTGAAATGAAATCGGGGCGTTACAATTAGGCAACACTTTATTCCATACAAGCTTGAAAAATTGGACCAATAATATTAGACAGCTCTTTATTACAACGTAATCAATTAGCATTGTTGTCCTAAAAATTTAGGATTCTCCCGGTTTTGAATACCCATCGTTTAAACCTTCAAATTAAAATTCGAATTGGATTACATACAATTTGCAATTAGAAAAATCGAAGTTCTTATACTTTAATAACTCCCTAAATATTTTATATTAAAAGATTTGGTTGATTTTTTGAATTTGTAAATAGAAGTCCACAATGGACGAAATCGTACGTAAAATATTCACAGGATTTTGAATACACTTTTTTCACATACTAAATTGTTAATGAGATAGTAATTTGTAATCAATACTAATTCATCTACTTCGGATTGCATACACCAAGGGAAGCCCAACAAATCAAAATAATCTGATGTTTAATATCTTTTCTTCCCATACTAAATTGTTAATGAGATAGTAATTTGAAATCAATTAAAATTCATCTACTTCCACAAGTTCAAATTTTCAAAATTCTTGAAATTGGTTCGCATACATCACGTATGGATCCCAAAAATCTAGAACAATCCGATTTTTAATACCCTTTTTTCATATATTAAATTGTTAATAAGATAGTAATTTGAGATCAATTAAAATTCATCTGCTTCTACAATTTCTAATTTTTTAAATATTTGAAATCAGATTGCATACACCACGTATAGAAACCCAAAAATTCGGAACAATAATATTCGTCTACGTTTCGATTTTTTTAAACATAAATCAATTATCATCGCACTGGTCAAATTTCAAATATCGAAATAATGAGTTTGTACCTACAAGATTCATTCTTTATTTTCAAAAGTCCATATTGGTCGAAATTCTAAATAAATTATTTTTTCAATAATATTGTGTACAAGAAAGTTTTTAATAATATATGATTTTTGTTTTGTCGAACATTATCTGATTGTGAAATTTGCCTACTTAATATAACTCTTTTATTTATTTATTCATATGATTGTACAATTTTTCTACTTAATATAATTTTTTTATTTATTTATAAAACTTAAAATGTAATATTCCTCAAATAAATACAGCCGGTGCATCGGGTCACACAATAGTATAATATTGAGCAAATGAAAAAGAAAACTATAAAAGGAATAATATATAAGGAAATGAACACCTCTACGTTCCCTCCATCTCTTTTGCGCCACAAAACCCAATTCATCCAAATCCTTACTCTGGATATGTCCCATCTTCTGTGGTCTGAAATTCTGCTTCGTCCCTTTCAAAACTCACTCACCAAAATACCCATCACCACGAGCTTTTTGTACTCTCAGCTCTCATGGCCGGCGGACATTTTTTCCCTCTCGTCAGAAAACCAAACACCTCACAATTCAACCCAATTTAACAAATTCTTCTCACGAAAAACAGAAATACAATACTGATGAGTACTGCCGCTACTGCTGCCCTCACATCCACCATTTTCGGAAACCAAAACCCCTGTAACCGGAGATGGATCGAAATCTCGCACCCTCCGGCGGCGATCGGCGGCCGAAGATGCCTCACCGTTAGGGCAGCCAAATCCCCTCCCGGAAAGGAGAAGAAGAATCAGCCGAGGAGGAGAAACAAGCGGAAGGAACAAGCGGTGAAGGAGGAGAAATCGCCACCTGAAGACGGAGAAACGCCCGAGGTTCCCACCGCCGCCGCGACCTCCTCTGTCACGGCGATTAAAAACCGTCTGGACGAGGTGAATCCGGTGGGACTCGGGCGGAAATCGCGGCAGATTTTTGACGAGGTGTGGCGGAAGTTCTCAGGGTTAGGGCAAATTTCGCGGACAACGAGGACCGACGATGACGAGGCGGCACTTCTCATAAGGGAGGGCGGGCCGATGTGCGAGTTTGCAGTTCCGGGGGCACAGAACACCACTGTGCTGGTGGTCGGAGCCACCAGCCGAGTCGGCAGGATTGTGGTTCGGAAGCTTATGCTCAGGGGTTATACAGTCAAGGTAATTTTATGTTGCGATTTGCTAGCTGAGTCGGTAATATTATTCTGATGGTGCATTTCGGAAGAAGAAAATTGTAATGTCGGGGTAATTGATGTATTTAGAAATGCGGTGTTTAAGTGACCAGGCTAAAATAGTGTTAAGTGATGAAAGGTTGTGTTGTGGGCTACTAGGTTGGAAATAATAATGGTACGCTCGAATATAATGATTTGTAGATTAAAAGTACAACTCGTGTTTTTCGAACATTTTTTATTTTAATGTTAGTCTCGAAACATGAAATTTCTAGGACGTGATCGTTTGGTGCAAGTGAATTGGTATGTTTGAGTCAAAAACTCATTCAAGAATACCACATAAAATTGTTTTCCAAATCGGCTAGTTTTGGTTGGGAATGTGGTCATGTGAACTCTTCTCACATTGCCTATTCTCGTTATTACATGTTTTCTCTAGTTTTTGGGTATGATATTGGTATCTTTTTTAAGATTATGGGACATGGTAGATTGTGATTTTTACTGAACTTTTAATTTTTTAGTAAATTGAATAATGGTCCAACGACAATATATTTTCCCTTAATTTGGTTGTATCGGTGCATTTTAATGTCTTATCATCTAATATGATTTGATCAGATGTCACGATCTGAATGTATGTTCGTCAGGACCTTCTATTTATAATTATCATAGCTTAAGCTCGATGATATTTTATTTTTTCTCATAAAAAAAGATTACTCCTTTGGGACCAGGCTTTAGTACGTAAGGCTGATGAAGATGTGGTGAATATGCTGCCAACGTCGGTTGAGATTCTAATGGGAGATGTTGGAGAGCCTTCAACTCTCAAGACAGCTATCGAGGGCTGCAATAAGATTATCTATTGCGCGACAGCTCGCTCGTCAATCACTGGGGATCTCAACAGAGTCGACCATCTCGGCGTTTATAATCTCACCAAAGCATTTCAGGTTTTATATGCCTACATGCACTTCGAAATTATACACTGGCGGTTTATTTTTTCAATCTAGAATTCTTGCATAGGACCTGAAATTGTTTTTCTAAAATATTGTAGGACTATAACAATAAGCTTGCGCAATTGCGTGCTGGAAAAAGCAGCAAAAGTAAGCTTTTGATTGCGAAGTTCAAGTCTGAAGATGCACTGAATGGATGGGAGGTCCGTCAAGGAACTTATTTTCAGGATGCTGCTGCCGCCAAGTATGATGAAGAAATGGATGCTACATTCGAGTTCACCGAAAGTGGAGATGCAGTCTTCTCAGGTATAATTTTACAAATAAATAAATAAAATAAATAAAATTATATATCATGTCTAAAACTAAAGATTATCTCAAGTTATAATATATTTGTCTTGTGCTTTAATGGTCTTTTCTTCTTTTAATATGTTCCTATTTTTGAACAACTAGGATATGTTTTCACTAGAGGAGGCTACGTTGAACTATCAAAGAAGATTTCACTTCCTTTGGGCTCTACCCTCGACAGGTATACCAAAAATGCAAAAACTTTGTAATGAACACCTCAACATTTATGAACCCTGACACACTTATATTGCAATGTTTAGGTACGAGGGTCTAGTGTTCTCTGTTGGTGGAAATGGTAGATCATATGTAGTAATTCTTGAAGCGGGTCCATTGGCCGACACTTCACAAAGTAAAATGTACTTTTCCAGGATAAGCACAAAAGCTGGGTTTTGCAGGGTGAGTTAGAATTGTGAACTGCTGAGAGAAACATACTGTTCATCTTTGTTGAACAGCTTAACTCTTCCGTAACTCTTTGATTATTACATTAGGTTAAATTTCTTTTTCTTATATTCTTTTGGTTTATATGTTTTCCTCTGCTCAGGTAAGGGTGCCATTTTCAACTTTTAGACCTGTGAAGCCAGAAGACCCTCCACTGGATCCATTCCTTGTACATACCTTGACTATCCGATTTGAGCCCAGACGACTGGTTTGCATCAAATCATCATAACTCCTTTTTCTTTTATTATAATAATAGTACTGTAGAATCAATTGAAGATAAATATTAGTTATAGTGACAACATGGATAAACTGTAGTTTCTGTTCATAATGCCTCGTTCAACAGGACTTGTTCAAGTGTGGCATTTGTTTTATTGCAGAGACCAACCGAGGGACCTGTTGGCGGAAAACAAGACTTGAGAAGCTTCCAACTAATTTTGGAATATATCAAAGCTTTGCCTGTAGGCTTGATTCTGATAGTTTAACTGTTATGTGTTTTTAAGTTTTGCTCCATACATGCATAAGCAGCACAAACGTCACAAACTTGTTACTAACAATTTTCATACGATTCTCATCTTCTGTTTTTTATTTTGAGTGAACTCTGATCTTTGCAGACTGGGCAAGAAACGGATTTCATCTTAGTTTCATGTACAGGAGCAGGAATAGAGCCTACCAGAAGGGAGCAGGTTTTGAAGGCTAAGAAGGTTCTTTTCCCTTTTCTTGCTTTTCATTGAATTTTCCAAGACTTTTCTCTAAACGAGTGAACATTTTATAGGCTGGGGAAGAATCACTGAAAAAATCAGGCCTTGGTTACACAATTATCCGTCCTGGCCCCTTGGTGGTAAGTTTATCTCGACGGACTGTTAGTAATGGCAGTGTTTGCCTTCATCAAAACAACGTAATAACAAATATAAAGAAAGAGGGGGCAGTCATTTTTTTTTTTTTTTTTTATTTTCAAATTTCAACTTTTCCTTATTCTACATATCTTGAGAGCGAATAGTGGATAGTGATGCCCTATATATTTCTAAATTTGGTTTCCAGTTCGAATTTTTGGCAGACTAATAAAGCTCTTCGCGACTTACCAAACAAACACTGTCTAGTCAATATTAGTTTCTCTACTTGCATGTATCGATTTGTTGTTCTCCAGAACATCTTACTTTTGCTAAAAATAGATTACATCTTCTAGTGGTAGAAGTTTTTTAAACAATCCCTGAGCCATAGTACTGTGTACAACAGTAACAATGACAAAAAATTCAAACAAATTTTTACAGCATATGAGGTGTACTTGTATCATGGAAGATATTTTTTGCAGGAAGAACCAGGTGGCCAACGAGCTCTGGTTTTCGACCAAGGAAACCGAATAACTCAGGTAAAAGTCAAGCTACATTATCAGATTTAACTGAAGGAATTTCGTGACATTTATCTCAGTATCTACGTTCGTAATGTAGGGAATAAGCTGCGCAGATGTTGCTGATATATGCGTAAAAGCATTGCATGATGCAACAGCCAGAAATAAGAGCTTTGACGTAAGTAATAAATACATTCATTATGTATCTTATTTTTATTTTTCAGTTGAACATAATTTAAGCTCATGACATCAGGTGTGTTACGAGTATGTAGCCGAACCTGGAAAGGAGCTATACGAGCTGGTATAATCTCACTCTCTCTCTCTGGGTACATTTGTATGTGTCATTAATTGGTTAACATATTTCCGATAGGCGGCCATAACATTTTTGCAGTATTTGATCTGTTTGAAACTGCGTTTAACCTTGTTTCTGTAGGTGGCTCATTTACCTGACAAAGCAAACAATTATCTGACTCCGGCTCTCTCGGTTCTTGAGAAGAATACGTGAAAATACCTACTCTTGGTGTAACAAACAGCAGCTTAAGTTTTGTTTGTTCATTTTCTTCTGATTTGAAGATAAATGTTTGTATAAATGGGGTATACAAAATCGATAACTGGATGGCTCAAGAATGATTTGTGATTTTGGTTAAGCGAAATGTGTATCTAATCCACTGAGTTGTATATGTGTGTGTCTATATATACACATTGGCATTGTTATGTTGACTGGTGTTTCCTCTTACCATGTTTTCTACTGTTATGTATATGAAGAATACCATTAAACTAACGTAGTCCATTGTGGTTCTTAAATCTTAATGTGTTTTCAGGTTGAAATTTTGTTTTCCAATTGTTGATCCGGCAAAATATTTTGCTTTCATACGAAGTTTCCTGAA